TAAATTGAAAGCTATATATATCATTTGCCCTCTTGATACTGATAATCCAACTATGTGGGATAAGATTCAACAAGTGAGTCCACCAATAATCTGTTCCAGTATTACTTTTAGAAATTGGGAAACAGAGAGTCATGTCATAATTCGTGATGAAGTTGAATCATCACATGCTGATACAATAATGGACTCACAAGATCCATATGAATCTGTCATGGACCAAGAAGGATGGGGTATTGATGATGATCCTAACTTGTCACCTAGTCATAAGCCTATCTTCAAGGACTGAAGAATCTTTGATAAAGCAACTTTATGTAATAAAGTATCTTTATGTATTTTGTATGTTGTATGACTCAGATATACTTGAAGTTCTTGCTTTGTTTGTTAGCACAAAGTTACCTTGTAAAAAGTTTGAAATCTTATCCAAACTCATTGATTGTAATATGCTTTCCATCCTCTATATAAGGAGGAACTCTTGCCTTTTAGGAGCAGATCGAACTGAAATAAAACTTGTGTTTTATATATCATGAGTTCTTTCTAGACTTCTCTCTCTGAAAGTTTATAATGACTATCCTCTAGTCCCTGACTAGAAATTAGTATGCTCTGCACTTGCCATTTTAATGGATCCTATGCATTAAAAAAAATTTTAGGTGAAAGATCCTGTTGCTACGGTCCTCTTTATCATGATTCAAAAAGAATAATTAGCATGAGTATAAGAAAAATGCATATGAATTTGTTCAAAGTATTAGAAAGTGCTATAAATCTCTATATGGGTTATGATATAAGGGGCTCCCGGCCAGCAATGGTATCAGAGCCTTCAAATTATTTGATGCTCATATCCTCAAGGTTTATCGGCTGGACACCTGACAGACACCTACCAGAGAGGCTGTATTCACAGTCGCCCCTGTCTATAACAATGCCACGAACTCCTGTATTTATTCAGAGTCTAAAGTCTCTGTTGAAGGAGAGGATAAGTATGATAGTCATTATAAATAAAATGAGTAAGAGTCTTCACAATATCATGAATACAACTACAAACACTAGTCAACCCTCTTCCACTGAAATTTCTCCTATTCTCTTAAATTCACCAATCTCATTACCAAAAGATTGTATCAGAACTGCTTCTGATAAAATTGAGAACTTGATAGAGTACACTTATGTTCATGAAGATGCACAAATTTAGGAATCTATAGCCCCTTTACTGAGTCCCTACAATGTCTTTAGAAGGAAAAAGTCCTAGACCAACAAGTTAAATCTGCTGATCCTTAGGAAACAATCTATAAAAGAGTATGTCCAATCCACTAGAATGGATCAGTGTGATATACCTGCCACTAAAGAAGAGAGATATATCAATCTTAAGATCCTCAAAACCTTTATAGATCACTGGAAAACTGAGGGATATACTGCTCTACACTTTGGACTAATCAGATTAGTCTTATCTCTGCATGGTAGGAAAAACCTCCCAGTCACTGCTAGGATTTCCCTTCTTAATACTATCTACATTCACTATGAGCATGCTGTCATAGCTACTCTGCTAACCACTCTTCATACTGGTAGTGTGGTCCTCACTATCTTCCCAAAATACAACGTCTCCTTAAAAGACAAAACTCTTCCAACCAGGCTGAAGGTTCAAATTCAGCTCACTAGGGCCGAGCAGATTGAAGAAGTAATATCTACAACACTTCATCATCAGATGATTTATAGATTATAAAATCATGCCCATGATCTTCCTCTTCCAGGAATGGTAAATGACAATCTTTTTGTGATAGCCAACAGAAGCGAGGATGAGGTTCCATTTATCATTCAAGTTCCTAGGCAGATTCCTAGAGAAGAACTTCTCAAGTTGATCCCTCTTGAATGGACAACTAATTATGAAAAGATCAGAAAAAATAACAAATCAATCTAGTCTTTTGAAGTCACTTTCAGAAGATCTGTTGATGGTGGTATCCGTACCATATTCAAAATATCAGAAGATGAACCTACCCCTTCCTCCAATTGTTTCCAATCACTCATGGTTATTCCTGTTGGAAAAGAAGATAGAATCCCAATATACAGTTTTAGATCTGATGGATCTTCCATCTTTTCAGATAAATTCGATGGTCACTTCATGTGGGATGTTGATCCCTTTATGTGTGATCCTGACTGTGACTGCTGGATGCATACTGGTGATACATCTGATGAAGAATCAGATGATGATAAGGACAACTCAAAAAGAAAGAAAAAGAAGCCTTATAAGCTGCCTCCTAAACCTAGAAAAAGAGACCCTGGATTTACTCCATAGGTAGGAATAAGAAATGAAAGAAAACCTTTGCCCATATATGATGAAGATCTTAAGAAAAGAATGCTTTTTGTCGAAACCACCTTGTGATTCAGACTTAATCACATGGCCTCCTCCTCTAGGATTATGTAATTCTTTCAACACATCTCCAGAAAAGGTTCCAGATCATATCCCTTGTATGATGTTCACAAAATATGATGAAGAATTTTCTTCATTAGAAAGGAAAGTTGATCTTGTCACTAAGGTCAATACCAGACCTTTAGTGATACCTACTGAAGTTCAACCTGATGGGGTTCTTAAAGCTCCATTTTAGGCTGAAGAAGTTCTCAATTGGCAGACTGAGAATTCTTTAGCTCAAAATAAACTTTTGAAAAAAATGGATGGAAAAATAGATCAGATTGCCAAATCTGTCCACAAAAATGAAAAAAGACTCCAATATCTTTTTGAGAAACTCATAAAATATTACAAAGAATCACAAAAACATATTGATAGATTGGAGTTAGATATCTCAAAACTGACGAAAGAAAAAGCAGTGTTTATAAGAGAATATCATAAAAAAGATAGAGAAATCAGGAGACTCAAAGAGCAAATGAAAGAAATGGATGAATTGATTGCTGCAAGACAAAAAAATAGGAAAACTAAAGTCAATCTCTTTCTTGTTCCACCTCCTGTACAATCAAGTTATTATTTTCCTTTTAGTTCATCTCCTTTTTATCAAGGAACTTTTACAGCACCATCTTATTCCTTACCCTCTGCTTATAGACCTAAACCTAGGTCTTCCACACGAGACTTCAAGGGAAAAGGAAATATGAGTATTTCTTCCTCAGAAAATATCAAAACAAAAAGTTTAGATTCTTCTAATGATGAGAAATCTCCACCAAAGAAGTCATCAAAAGAAAATTAAAAAAAAAAAAACGCTTTCTATAGGTACAATTATTGAAGATGACCAAGTTGATGATTCAAGCTTATCTGGAGGAAATAGTTCTCATGGATCTTCAACTACTAAAGAAGAGTTTCATGAAGAATTTTATGAATCTTCAACAACTGGAGAATCTCAAAGTGAATCAGAACTGTCAGAAATAAAATCTTCAGTAGAAAACTTTACTAACATTACTGAGATGCTGATGGTAAACACAACACAATCCAGTAATCAAATAGGATCTTTTTATGATTCACCTGAAGAAGAGGAAGAAGCCAACAGACAAGAAAGAAAAGGATCTAAGATCAATGAATGTCCTTATTTTATCCTTGATGATGTTTCTCCACAACACTGGAAAAAAAGATTGCTTGACTTTGAAGCTTGGTTAGACACTCAATTCATGAAAATATATGCAGATTCATATAAAGTCATTGAAGAATTTTATTATAGAATGACTGACACCCTTAAAGAATAGTACCATAACTTTGGCAGTGTAAAATAAGACCAGTTTCATCAAATGAAAAATATTTGTCTAAGTTCTTGGAGTCATACATCAAGAATTTGTGGTTAACATGAATCTTTATGATAAAAAAACTAAACAAAAGTATTTTGAGATAAAATACTATTTATTAAAAAAAATAATTTAAAAAGACATCATAAAATAATTTATTTTTATCTTTTTCATGGTTACAACGATGTACCTTTTTTGTTAATCCCGTGGCCATACAGTTTTCTTGGAAGGTATTAAAAATACAAGAAAACAAAAAGGTTGATTTAAGGAGTGATGGCAAAAACTAGCTACAGCTAGCATTCATGATTCAACGGCAACTTTGGATGGGAACCCTTTTGTCTTGTGTCATGGATTTTGACATTTAAGTCATTTAAGAGATGGAAATGAGGCTTGTACTTTCTTCTTGGTGCTGCCTCATGGGCAATGTATGGTCATTCTCCTCTGACGTGATGGCAACGATGTCAAAATATAAACGATTTTTTTTATAAAGTAGGTCTAACGATGCATATTAAAAAAATTAATAATTAATAATTTTGTAATATTATTAATGTATTGATTTTTATATTATTTTTAATAAAACTTACTATAAATAAATTTTTATTCTATCCTCTCAGACATGTTTAAATTATCAAAATATAAAATAGCAAGCCACCCTATCCCGCTGTCTTGAAGTCCAATTGCACATTATAACTTGTAATACGGTCATTCAACCATTAAGATAATCAACGCCACGACTTGAAGGTATGGTGAAATTTGGGTTTCAACCTCTTGGTACAACTCTTAATTTCCAGTCGCATGAAATATTAAATCAGTAGACGTATGATGCAATCTTTGACGCCTTTCATTTCAAACCGATACCATTGAATGAATACTTGTAAGTGTTTTGGAAAAATCTCATGTCCCCTTGCAATCTCTCATGAAATATTTTTTTAAGAGTTACCGTGTCGCCTAAATTTATTGAAAAGGCATATACTTATCTTGAAAAATAAATGTTATTATTATAAAAATTAATCGGGTGCCGTAATAGGTGAAGAAATAGTTTTTAAATTTATTTTCCTAAGTGTAAACTCGCTGTCGCAAAATCCTCACGCCAAACAGATGTCATGAGATGTATTTTAGTATAATACGATCGACCTGAATGAGGATAGCTTAGACAAATAGTCACGTTCATTACAATAAAGTTCTGTATATCAATATATTATTGAACACAATTTAAAAATATTGTAACATGAATTATTTTATTAACGTATGTATGCATAAAATGTGTGAGTGGAGTTTAAACATAGATATCCTCAATGTATGGTCATTTGATTGATCACAGTTGTGTATTGGCTTCAGCCCAGCTCTAATAACCGTTAAACAGATAGAATTCAGGAACAGTAAAGCCATATGGATCCATGCTTAATTTAAAAGGAGAGGAACCGGCAACGCGTGCAGCGAGGGCAATTCACACAATTATTGAAACTAATAAGAGAAAATTTACACCTGCTCACTTGAAAAACAAAACAAAACACTCATGACTCGTGTATATTTACAAAACCTTGTCGCTATAATAGAAAAGAGTGAGGAAAACACCAACCAGCAAATTCATTCATTCACGACACAAATAAAACAAGAATAAAAAGGATTTACGTTCCTGCAGTAGTAAGTTTGTTCAACGCGCCACGTCACCACTGGAACCACTCTTCAAACGCTTGGGTCCCACACAAGAGACTCGCGAGTCTCGAGATTTTTTATATTGCTTGCTTACATCCAAGGACGAAGGGCCCCACTTCGCGGTTGCCCTCGCCGAACGGATACCTCCTCCAATCCTATTGCGCCACGTGGCTTTCTGAATCACCTACTGCCCACGATTCAGACCTTCTCCCAGACGCGAACCGCATCATGCCACCCAAACCGGGCGGTTCACTCTCCGACATGCTGTTTCGCGAGATCGATTCCTCGAACGACACGTCGTTCACGCTCGACGTGCTATCCCGCGTTTTGGAGTAAACGCTCTTCGATGCAACGGATTCCGCTGCTCGATGACCGGTTTTTCGGTCCGGTTTTTCCCTTCGACCGGAGCGGAAAATAGCACGAAAACTCTCGAAGAAACCGTGTTTTCTTCCGGTTCTTTCCGATTTCTCTTTGGCGGTGACGGTGTCCATGTCGGAGGGGGACTTTCTCGAACTTCTCAACCTGCGGTTTCGATCGCGCTTGGATCTGACCCTTCCCATGCAAGACACCTTCGGCGAAGACGGTTCAAAGAGAGAGGACTCCGATTTTCCGACAGAAACGTTCCGTTTGGGGAACAACCGAATGTTCCCGGGCTTGTGGCTGCGGCGGTTTTTGGCGTCGACGAAGGAGGTTTTCTGAGGCTTAGGTAAGCCAATGATGGCTGCTTTGGATTTGAGATTCAAAGAGAAGCGTTGGGAGTTGGAGTTGGAGTTTGAGGAAGGGTTCAAGTTGGTTGAATTGGAGTTTGAGTTTCCCTTGGTGGATTCTTTGCGCTCGTAAACGGCGTTGCGGTCCCACCAGTCGTACTCTTCGTCCCTCGAGAGCCAGAAAGACTCCGGCGGCGAATCCGGGTGGGGCTCCGGCTGATCCGTTGTGTGATCCTCGGCGAGTGTCTCACACGCGATTTTCCGATCGTTGGATCCGCCGGCACACGCTGAAACCAGTGTTTCCAAATCCACCTGTAGCATCGTAGTTTGTGAACCCCAGAGTGGAAAGCTTACGCAAACAAAGCCAGAAAAATAACACGCTTAAATAGACTTGAGAGGGTAGAGGGAGAGTGAGAAGGGGTGAGGAATTTGTTAGAGGATCGTGTTTTTGAGTTTGGGGTGTCGTTAGATGTGTGAGGATGAGAGAGAGAATATATAATTTGGAGGGAGAAGTTTCAACTTGTTTACTCATGCTATAGCGGTGGTTTTGTTTTGTTTTGAAGTTGACGAATGCCAACTATTCATGTTCAATGACAATAATAACATTTTAAATTATATTATAGCATATTGTCCGAATATAAATGTTTTTTTAGTAACTCAAATGAGACATGTTACGGGCTTTTTTTTACATCATATACTGAAATATAAAATTTTAATAAAAATTACGATTTCAAAAATTAGTTAATTTGCTGAACACACTTATGACGATTTGTTGAAAAATTTTAAATTTATTAATATCAAATTTTCTAATTAACTTATTTTATTTTAAAATTACTAATAACGATTTTTAGTTCAATATAATTTTTTAAATCTCATATTTTGATGTATAATACTTCAAATCTCATACATGTGTCTTCTGATTTTTTAGATATATTTTTAAAATACGTATATAAAAATAATAAATACTATACTAATTCAACTGACGAATTTGTTTTGTGAACGGATGGATTCGCCTTTTCGTGGAGTAAAGTTATCTCAGCGCTTTTCTTTTATAATAATTAACGAATTACTTGTGAATTGTAAAAATATTATCAACTTAAAATACATTATTTAAATAAAAAATAAAAGTATAATTTATTATATTAAAAAAATTTAACTTAAAACATTAAATACTTAATATTAATAATATTTAAAGTCATTATATCATAAAAATAATTAATAAAAATATTTTCATTTTAAGAATAAGAATTTATCATTTATATATACAGGTGAATTAATTTAAATATTGATTATGTGTGTTTAAAGTGAAAAACATTTCTAGAGAGTGAGAAAATGAGGAGGAAAAGTATCCAATTTTTTTCTTTCTTGGTCAAAAGTATACGAAAGCAACGGCGAAGCGAAACGCATAGTCTAATAGTCCGTGGTTTGCAATTTGCCTATTTTAAAACACTGGTATTTTGTTAGTTACAAGTTCTAAGCTTCTATTCTCTTTTGCTTCTGGTTTTTTTTAGTTGTAGTGTTTGATGGCTCGCCTAACGGCTTGGCTCTTCATTAGTTGCTATTTGGCTCGGCGTCGTCTAACATAATGTTCCGTTTTTAATGATGCTAATTAAGGCTCTAGAAAGAGGTTACCCATGGTTGATCTAAAATGTACATAATAATGAAATTTGTTATATGATGATTGAAGCTTACAACTGTTCTTTGCATTTCTTTTATTAGAATATAGCTATTCCATGATGAATCTTGTATATCTTTCGCTCAAAAATTTATTATTTGAATTTATTGAGCGCCATTGTATCTTGACAAGATGGCAAATTCACGTGGATATGTATACACCTGAGAGAACATGTTAGATTAAGGATTTATTTTATGTAACAGAATATTGTTGTCCTTCTCTCCCCTGAGGATTATTTTTACGTAAGATACGAATTTCACATTTCTCTTCACACAATGGATAAGATTTATGTGATTGAAAAGTCCTCTGTTAATTGTTATTCACCAATCACAAGACTAATTTTGTCATTTAATTATTGGTTTTATTCATCTCAATCTTAAAGAATAAATTTAAACATTTTAAAATATTAATTATATTTTATAATTTCAATGTAATAAATATTTTATATTTTATAATTTAAACACCTAGCTTAAAATTTATATAAATCTAAAGTCTAAACCCGCCTGTGAATTATGGTTATGAAAATAGCTCTAGCCTTAAGTTGTCGATCGCGTAAAGGAGGAACAAACTTACACTATTCTGTTAGTTCCAGCAAATTTGTATTGAATTATTACAAGGAGAAACAGCTACTTAACAAACGTGATGATGCCATACGAACACAAGCAACCCAGTAATACGAAAAAAAACTTGGCAAACGCATGCATGTAATATCGATCTGCATGTATTTTCATACTCCAGGTATGAAATATTAAAATTAATTATTTGTATGCATACTTAATCCCGGTGTATTCTTCTTCGGTTTTGGGCAAAAACCTACAATCATTTTGTTTGTTTATTCGTGGGTGGTATTGCACTGTATAGGTGTTATATTATCGTTGGTATTGTTGCTGCTCTGTCTTAAGCTTGTTTGTTTATATACATTTAGTGGCCCAATTTCTCTGACTTTTTTTTAGTTGTTCAAAACAATGGAACGAAGATAATTTTGGGCCGGCATTCATACTCTCTTTTTTCCCATCCTGTGCAATGATTCTCGGTCCAAAGAGCGTGAGAAAGGATGACCCTTCCGTGAGTGACTTTTTTGCCTAGTTAAGACTAAAGGAGAAACAAATTTTTCAAATAGAGTTGTTTTATAACAAATACTCTCTCTAGGACTCACGTGAAAGCAGTGTAAAAAGATACATAACCGATACAATTTTTTTTTAGAAAAAAATTAATAGTGTTGTCAAACTTGTTGCTGACACTATAAAAAATTGACGGACAAATTTTTAAATTATTGATTTACGGTTGCAAACCGAACACGTGGAGACTGTCCAGTGTGTTAGATGACTCAGATCTGACTTTAGTGTCGCTTTTGGCGACAAAAGTGTCGGTAAGCTCAGGACTGACACTTATATGGTTGGTCCACGTGGCACTACTGTAGGAAGTCCCGCTCGCCCCTCCCTCTCTCTCCTTTTGTACTTTATCTCTGCGGTCCTTCATCTTCTTCATTCAGAAAGTGAAGAGCTTAACAAAATCTGACAAAAATGAAAACGCAGAGGGTAAATGTTTTGCTATTTTTAAACTTTGTAAGGTAAAAATAAATGACTTTTTTGTATATTAGATATTAATATTAATATATTATTTTAAAAAACTAATTTTGTTTACCTGTTTTTGTTGGAGAATCTATTTTAAGAAGATTGCAAAATTGAAAGGGGCTTTCAGGTGGTCCACCATTTCCATTCCCACGTGAAAAGGTTAGTGAAAATGAGGATTATAATTTATTTTGTTATTTTTTGCATGTAAAAAATAAGAAAATAAGAAAATACAAAAGTAGGAAAAAGACAAAAATAGAAAAATATTTAAATTAAAATTTATAATATTTTTATTTTTTTATGTAGAAATTGTATTTAAAAGTAAAAATAATGATGATATTACTTAGTTATACAAATATTATTATTTTAAAATAACAATATTTGGGATGGTACAACATATTCCTCATGTTCCTTATCAGTTAGACCAGTTACATGACATTTCTCTTAAAGGAAGACCGATGACAATTGAGAGTCGAAGTTCAGGGGTGTACTACAACATTGGGACAGGAGATTAGATTGGGTTATGAGTAATGAACCGAAAATTGGTCTACTGACTTCGAACTCTGAATACATACGGTGGTACATTACTCATATCAAACGGTGGATGAGCAGTGATGCTAGCATTACTTGTACGTATTATTCTTATATTTTAAACTATTTAGTTTGTTTAATATAATCTAATATGAATGTAATGGTTATGCAAGGAAATGCTCATGAGATGGCATATTACTTGTGTAGTGATGGTAGGGGCACATTTTCATTTGAGGAGATAAAGGAGTTGTGTGAGACGATGTTAGCCTTGCAAAATGAGAAGGAACGCATCTTAGAGCCTTCATCTTCAGGTGATCCTTCTATCCAGAGTGGAAATCTAGATGAGCCTGAGATTGACATCGGTATAGGTGCACAACGTTGGCAAACGTCAGTTCAGGTATTATGACCTTATGCTTCATTGGCGAATTGTACCTATGCACAACAAATTTAATGAATAATACACAATGTTATTTTTTTAAAATTGCAGGCCACAGATTTTACGTTACCCCATTTGCCCGAACAAGGAGATGGTGTTTATTATGTCCCTCCACCTTTTCCATTTCAGCAATCGCAAAGGACATTGTCATCTTATGTTCACTCATCACAACAAACAAATGTTCCTCCTGCATCTCCATTATCCACCGGTGAATTTTATGTTCCTGATGTTACCCTTTTCATGACACCTCCTCCATATGAGCCGATGTTTTTTACACCGAATGCACCCAGTGTAGGCACTCATCAAAGTGGAGAGGGTGAGCAAACAACATCAATACTGCAAGGGCATGAGCGTGGAATTGATTTTAATGCTGAATTCATTGGAGCCTTAGATGCAGCAGGACCTGATGTGAGATGTAACCCTCACTGTGGAGCTCGAGATCATCGTTGACAGTGCATTCTCACACCTCATGAGGAGGGACTTCATGACTAGTCCTTGGATTCTAATAGAGAATATGTTATCACATTGTATTATATAACTGTCGACATTTACTTTTTCTTTATTGGTTGTTATTACTTTAAACGATGTTAGTGAAAGGTTTATTTGGTTTACATGCACGATTCATTTATATTTTGCCACATTCCTGTCCCTCCTCACATTGTCTGAAACTTAAATATGTGACATAACATTAATTTAAACTAATAAGACAACATACTCAAAATAAATATGCCAACATGAATACAATCATAAAATACTACTCGTGATGAATATTAGCATTACTTTGTTGAGGACAATAACGTTGATTATGACCTAGCTGTCGACATAACCTACATCGTTGTCGCGGTTGTGACTCAACACAATCCATTTCATTTCTAATTCTACTGGCCTTTGGTCGTCCTTTACCTCGTGCTTTATCTTGATCTGGCAACAACTTCCACTCATCATTTTGTAAAATGTTATTCTCATTTTCAAGCGGCCACCACTGATACGAGTATGCGTTCACAACATACTGTAAAGTATATACAGGGTCAACATACTGCCAAAAGTCTATACTTAGAGTAGAACAAGCAGCTATGACATGTGAACATGGGTATCGGTATGCCTGAAATTTGCCACATTCACAAAATCGTCTAGATAAAATCACAGTCCACTTATTACCACCCCTTTGTGTCATTGGATTAAAAGTCTCTTCAACCTCAAACATTGTTCTTTGTATGTTGTAACGACGAACCTGATGTGAAAATGCTCCTTCTTTATTTTTTTTATAGCTTAAATTAATTTACGGCAATACCTTTTATCATTGTTCATGTCATTGATTTCACTTTCACCACGCTCACAAAATACTCGACCAATCTATTATAGGTTACTTTGACAAGGGCAATAATTGGGAGATTTCTTGCCCCTTTTAAAACTTTATTCAATGACTCTGACAAATTAGTCGTCATGTGACCATAACGTCGCCCTTCATCATCATAAGTCAAACTCCACTTTTCCTTTGATATGTTGTCAATCCAAGTTTGAACTTCAAGAGAATGCGAATGAAATGTATTAAGCTTCGCTTCAAATCTTTACTTGCAAGATGTATATGCTACATAAATATGAAGTGAAAAATAAGTATATCTTCATAATTAATGTAAAATTTAAATATTATAAAAAACTTACCTAACTTCATAAGTATACTCTTCAAGGTGGGATTTTTGAATCTTTTATTAAAATTGCTTGCAATGTGACGAATGCAATAAACATGGTAAGCATTGGGAGGTTGTCAATCAATGTGTGGGTTAGACACAACACCTTCAATACTTTGATGGCGATCATATATTAAACAAATTACAGTTTTATCAGTAACATTTAGACGGATCATAACTAAGAACCATTCTCATGCTGATAATGTTTCTCCTTCAACAATGGCAAATGCTATAGGAAGTACACTATTATTGCCATATTGAGTTGTAGCAATTAGTAATGTTTGCTTATACTTACCATACAAAAAGGTACCGTCTACCTGTATTATCAGCTTACAAAACTTGAAGGCTTCACAACATTGCCTAAATGACCAAAATAATCGATGAAAGACTCTGAATCTATTATCAATTACATTATCTCTCACAAAATCATTGGTCTCGATTTTGTAAACTGACCCTGGAGCATGTAATTGCATGTATTATAACCATCGTGGTAATATTGAATAAGATTCATCCCAATCACCAAATATTGTCACAATTGCTTTTTGTTTTGCTTTCCATGCTTTTTTGTATGAAATTGAATACCCAAATTGTCTACTTACTCTCTCTTGGATTAATGAAACGGGAACTGAAGGTTCTTCTTTGATCATACCTGTAAATAAAATTAAACAATATGTCTCAACTAATGATCCAGTCAAAATCATTTTAAATAGACAAATAAAAATAATCTCAATTGAGTTTCATATACCGATAATGCATGGACAAATAAAATTTGAATATAACTTTTTGTGATCTTGAGAAATCATGGTATTTACGTAGGTATGCGTACCGAATCATCTCGTAATTTTTCACTTATTTGAATTTTTGGGTAGTAATGCACTTACTTTCCAAGGACATCCGAACTTATGATTCACACACTTGACAAAATGAGTTGATGTTTTTGACTCAACCACAAAAAAGTTTGATATTTTCTCATTGCATAATGTTTTATCGCCATTTTTATCTCCTCTTTAGAGTCAAAGAGTTGTCCAACATATAATGCATCTCCTTATACCCATGATTGTGACGAATGCAACTCAGGAATACTCAATTCTTGATCAGGATGTTCCCAATTAATAGCAATGTAGTGTAAACTTATGTTCCAAAAAGGTGTTATAGAATCTTTATTAAACTCAACTAATGTTAGTTAAAAATATTTTACAATACAATGTATTATATAAAATTGTACCTGTTGATTATTCTTGCATATCGTTATTTCTTTCAGTGTTTATATTATTCATCATTGAATCGAAACCATCATCTAAATCAGTATCATCATCATCTGTACATGCACTAGCAAATATTTATTAATAAATTATAAAATTTTAAACATCATATAATTTAAATATATATTATACATTACCTCCTCCAATTGCATACTCTTTTTCATTGTCACTCACATTAACAGTTGGGAGTGATAAATTTAAACATAACGAAGTTTCACCAATATGAAAAGTTTTACCAACTGCAATATCCACATATAACTCAACTACATTTTTTTTATGTCATTCTTGACAAGCACTTATCATACAATCAATGTTTTCATCATTACATACATCTAAAACTGTGTAATTTACATTCCTTTCATCAACTAAAATTCGTGAAATCAATCTAGAAATTATATTATTATTGCATAATCTTAATTTTGTATATAATTTTTTTAGCATCTCAAAAGTAATTTCACGTTATATTTTAATCATCTTCTTATTCCCTTCAAATATTATACCCTCATTTCCTTCGTACACCCTTCTATTCCAATATAAAATAACAACAATTTCAATCATCCTGCATATCTAATTAAAAAATACAGCCAAATAAATTACGAAAGTATACCTAAACAAATACTAACAAAAAATATTACAAAAATATTAAAATAAAAATATTTATATTTATATTTTCAATAATATTATATTAACATTAAATAATTTTATTTATTACTACAAATATTTTTAGTTTCATTAATTTATAATAATATTAAATTTATTATTTCAAACTTAATTACAATAATTAAAAAATTAAAACAATAACTTAATAATAACATTCTAACCTTTAGGTTCAGCTTCTCCTATATTCGGTAGCTTTTACAAAATATTTGGCAACCAATAAGTTTCGCCCATCTCTCTCTCTCTCTCTCTCTCTATATATATATATATATATATATATATATATATATATGAGAAATTGGATAAAAACTATCAGATAAAAGATTGTTCTTTTGTGTTGTCCGGCGGACGGAGGGTCGAACCAGGACAATGTCAACATCAAAGTTGCCAATACAATGTAAGTGTCGGCATTATACCTACCGACACATTAGTGTCGCCAAAGCAGAAGATAACACACGTGTCAGACTATATTGAGCCAATACAACTGCAATAGTGTCCCTATTATTTTGGCCAACACTTTATATTGTGTTGCCTTACAATCTTACGACACTTTGAAATCACTCTAGAGAAGGTATTTTTTATTATGTAACCCTATTTGAAGAATTTGATTCTCCTTTAGCCTTATCGGGATGGACAAAAAAGCTTTTGTGAGTTCCTCAAATGAAGTTTTGTCAATTTTATTTGGACACTTATATATATAATATTTTTTTATTTAAAACAATGATATTTAAAATTTTAATAACATTAAAATTATTATTTTTTGATTTTTATTATATATCTTTAGACATATGTTAATTTTATTTTTTATTTTACAAAACTTCGATTATAATATAACTTTCAGCATGGAATTTCGTGTAAACATGGTTTATATCCTTAGTTATTTTTCTCTCATTCTAGCATACTGTTAATCCTTTTCTTAGTTGGTTCACGTGTTAAGTTAGTCCAGGATAAAGTCATTAATAACTCAAATTAATTCGTAAAAACGTTAGCTTGAAAAAATAAAAAGACTAAAGTTTTAAATAATTATAATATCAAGAGATTTTTAGTGATATTATTTTCATTAAATCTTACGATAAACATATAATATAATTTGTTATTTGATAGAGCGTTAAATCTTAAACTCAGATTACACGTTAAGTCAATCAACACGAAAGCGTTAAATTAAAAGTTCAAAATAGAAAAAATATCAGTACTGTGATAATTTGTACTTAATTTCCAAAATAAGAAAGATACATGTGCTTATTAAAACTTGAAACGGGTACCACTTTCAAATTAGAATTTAATTAAAGATTCTGTTAGAAGGAACGAGTTTAATCATTCATAAATAAAAATTCTTTTAAAAAAATATATTTATTATATTAGTTATGAAAATATAATAAATATATTTTTTAACAAAAATTTATTATTATTAGTTATTTAATCTCCACTCTAAAAGTTAAATTAACATTTTTAATTAATTTAATTATTTAAATTTATGATTAAATCATAACTAAACAAATATAATCATTTTACAGTCAATAAAAAATGTATGTGATGAATTGAATCGCAGGAAAATATGAAAAGAGGGATAAAAAAAGACAAAGGGATGAATTCTTTTGACTTTGACTAGAGGGAATGAAATCTTAGGATAGCATTGGTGGTAAGAACAGGAGCATGGAGAAAGTAAGCATCGTGCGAAACAGTGCACAGACAATAATGTACCGCCCGCTAGATGTATGACACGTCAGAACTATCACGTGATGATTGTGGAAGTAGCGGTGGGGGTGGAAGCGTTCACACGTTATTAGTGGTAGCGCTGCGAAACTTACTCACACGTGTTATTCATGCGCCTTTCTTAATGTCTGAATGTTCAGTTGTATAGTGTAAGAAGCAACTTCACCCTCTCTTCTCTCTCTTTCTCCTTGTCTGAAACGCAACTTCAATAGCCAATTGGCTTCGCAAAATGTCGGGGAAAAGGAGGAGGAAGTTGAAATCGTAAGTTCTGTTTCATCCTTCTTTTGAAATTCAACTTTGCATCTCTGCATTTTTCTCTCTATTTTTATTATTTTATTAATTTGCATAGTTACAGGAATATGAAACATTTCCAGGTTTCAATGCTGGATCGCTATAGATTTGTAGGATTTGCGGGTTTTACTTTGGTTACTCGTTGGCTATTGAATATGATTTTCGCCAAAAATAACAAAGGCAGTGTGACTAATTGTTTCCAAGTGGATTTAGTTTGTAATTGTAAACATTTGTTAGGGTTTATGGATCAGATCAGTCTAAGATTTTGACAATTTCGTTAAAGAATGGGTTGACGTAATTTGAATTCCTGAGAATTGGAATTTGTAACATGTGAATGTGCCGTATTTGATTTCAATTATCTAGACTACTGTTGTACTTACTTTTAAACTATAGTTACTGCAAATATTTTGTTCTTATTTCCAATTTGATGGAGTTTTCATGTTTCATCTACAACTACACTTATTTTCGTGTATATGAAATTTAGCTGTAATCGGTCATGATTAACTCTTATGAATAATCCTTTTTTTTCCGGGGTTGAGGGTTGTACAATGCTCCAGTAGATCCAGACTATCGGTATTCATATAATTCTTAATGATGGTGATACGGTATTATTGTATGCAACATCACATAAACCTCCAAATTTGTGTACCTTGAGAGAAATTTAATCATTTTGAAAAGAGATACAAGTTAGTTGAATGTCTATGCAATTGTTCTGTCTAATTTTTTCTTTTCCTGTTCTTCATGAGATTTTCCTAGACCGCTAGAAGTTAGATTGATTACATCTTTGTTGGGATGGAAAAGTGTTTGTAGTTTTAAAAATTCCAAGTCTCTTTTTCTTCTCACTGCATCATAAGTTTATTCATTTATTCTGTTTCACTTCTATCAAGCACACATATATCTGATACTTATTATTTAGGTTAAGTGATACAATCATAGACAATAGAAGAGCTGTTGCTGAGGTGAAAAGTGAAAATTTGGAGCTGCAATCCTGGGCCGATCTCCCTGCTGAACTCTTAGAATTGATCTTGTCCCATTTGGTCCTAGCAGATAACATCCGTGCTTCTGTTGTTTGCAAGAGATGGCATTCTGTTGCCAATGCTGTACGTGCAGTAAACCAATCGCCATGGCTTATGTATTTTCCAAAATTTGGGGACTGTTATGAATTCTATGACCCTGTGCAGCGTAAGACCTATTCCCTTGAGTTGCCTGAGTTGAATGGATCTAGAGTTTGTTATACGAAAGATGGTTGGCTATTGCTTTACCATCCCAGAGCTCACCGAGTATTCTTCTTTAATCCCTTTAGCAGGGAGCTGATCAAACTGCCAAGATTTGTGATAACGTACCAGATTGTTGCCTTCTCTTGTGCTCCAACATCACCTGACTGTGTTTTGTTTACTGTTAAGCATGTTAGTCCAACTATTGTAGCTATTAGCACATGTTATCCTGGGGCAACAGAATGGACCACTGTTAATTACCAAAACCGCTTGCCCTTTGTCAGTAGCATATGGAATAAGCTTGTGTTTTGTAATGGGTTATTTTATTGTCTGAGTCTCACAGGTTGGCTTGGGGTGTTTGACCCTGCAGGACGTACTTGGAGTGTTCTAGCAGTGCCTCCACCCAAATGCCCAGAGAACTTTTTCGCTAAAAACTGGTGGAAGGGGAAATTTATGACAGAGCATGAAGGAGATTTATTAGTAATTTATACTTGTTGTAGTGAAAACCCCATTATTTTCAAGTTAGATCAGACATTATTGAAATGGGTAGAGATGACGACACTTGATGGAGTAACTCTATTTGCTAGTTTTTTGTCATCTCATTCAAGGACTGACCTCATTGGAATAATGAGGAACAGTGTCTACTTCTCTAAAGTTCGTTTCTATGGAAAGCGATGCATATCATTCTCTCTTGATGACTATAGATACTATCCCCGTAAACAATGTCATGACTGGGGAGAACAAGACCCTTTTGAAAACATCTGGATTGAGCCACCAAAAGACTTTTCTGCGTGCATGTGAAGATTATTTGTGAAACAAGTAAGCATTTACAAAATCAGCATTGTGTAGAGCTATTTTTTCTCTTTGTTTTCATTTAAGCTTTTAATTATATATTACAACTGTTGGATCCATGCTTTTTTAGATAGCATAATAAACATTTCATAAATATTATTAATCTTTATGTTTAATTATCATCGCATGCCACATGCAAATTAATCCAGGGTACATTCTTATCATTGTTGAGTTATATGCAAATTTTAATCGGAGTTTTCAGGTTGTTATATGGCCATTAATAGCGTCTCCATTTTCAGTTTTAGTCATAATATTAAAATTACTAAACAGTGCCGGGTACTGATTAAAGAAGAAAAAATATAAATATTTTATTAGAAAAAGTAAAAACGTACTCACCCTCATGTATTCTAATGCATTTCAACATGTTTTTTAATAAAAGTTTATTATTTATTGATTCCTTAGGGCACTGATTACCAACACCCATAAAGTATTATTTTACATTTATTGTATCCTGTACATTGAATTATTGTAATTACAATTTAAAGTGATTCTAATTCAGTATCATGTTGCTGTGTCTTCTATTTCTATGGTACGATTACAGTCAAATGTTCTTGATCACATTGGTAATAAATAAATTTTGTAGTACCCGTTAATTAAACAGGGCGAGTTTAGGTAATAAGATACCCATGTCTGTTACCTATTTACAGATAAAATTGTAAAATTTCCTTTTTTTATAAATAAAAAGTAACTTAACCCTAACATCAGTAACTCTAATGTTATGTTTTAATTGTTTTTTTAATGTTATGTGAAAGATTTTTAGTGTTATGTGAATGGTTAATGAGTTTTTTTTTTTTTTTTTAAATTCTATATTTTTAATAAAAAATGTAAAAGTCTGTGGATATCTTAGGTGGGTACTCATGCAAGTATCGGGGCGGGTGATGGGTATTTCACCCCGTTGACAACCCTAGGTTTAATGCTAATTTGGACAAATTTCATTTATCTGCATTTGGCTTCACCTTTTGTTAAATTCTTTTAAATGTTGGGTAGTGAAATTTTTCAACTTGTAAGCTTTGTATTGTTTTATTATTACCTTCTCATCTAATTAGAGCCAACTTATGATTAAATCTGACTGGCTTAGAAAACCTCTTAGTAAGTACACCATTTTGATTTTGACTGGCCCTCCATTTTTTTTCTTAATACTGCTCATGTACAAAGATGAAAATATGCAACTGATTCCTGTAAATTTTAAGAACATGACAATCCTTGTCTGGGCTAGGTCTAGTTTGTGCTGAACTGGTCTGTGATGGGTAAATGGTTATCTAGTTCTTTGTTTGAAAGTGTTATCTGTGCCAATCGTATTTTCCTTTTATGGGTGATTGAACTGATTGGTAAGGGTGTTTAAAATTGAACCAATCCGATTCTAAAAAGTCAAACCAATCCAAAATAAAAATAAAAATAAAAATCGCATTGTATATTGCAGTTTGTTTCAAATTTCTGTTCTTATTATTAAAATCAAACCAAACTAAGTTGCACAGTATGACAGTATTGTATTATTTTTTATATTATATTTTCATATAAAATTATTTTTCTTAATTTTATCATAACAATGTATAAATATAAGGTATACTATTATTTTCTTAAAATTCTCATTTATTTTAATTGAGTATCCTTTCTTTTTTATTCTCCATAAAAAAATTTACCTTTCTTTCATGGTTTTTTTCATTTTAAATAATGTTTCTTATCTCTATTTTTATTTTCTTAACAAATTCACTGATTTTTTGGATTACTTTTAATCTAAATAAAAAAATAAATTAAAAGTCATAAATAAATAAATAAATAAATAATCAATCAAAATCGAACTACAAAACCTCGATTTGGTTTGGTTCAATTTTGATATTACATTCAAACAAAATCAAATTAAACTGCGTATTATTTTTATGATGGGTTTGAATGATTTTTTGGGTAAAAATTGAACCAAATCGAACCATGAACAACCCTCTTGATTGGACCAAGCTATTGATCAATTATTTGTATTTTGTTTTTCAAATGAAGAGTGAGCAGATCAATCTTTTTGTCAAATTGAAATATGTTATGAGATTGTAGTGTACTTTTCTCTACCTTACCTTGTGTGCAAGTTTATTCTCCTACCTCTTTTGCTTTTTGTTTATTCATTCTTCATGTCAGCAGTGGATCAACATTGCTTAACATGATGTCTATGTTTGAATGAAGCATTTTGATTCATTCCCTTGTCCTTCTCATGTGATTCCTACTGAAGAGCATGTGAAACTTATTTGAAAGCATGCTATCTTTGCAGGGCGTATAGAGGAGGCTAGAACCTGCATATAACGGAAGTTATATGTGAAGGAATGGACGCCTGTAAGAGGGAAGCGAAAAGTCTTGCCTCCTTGGATATTTTGTCTTTGCAGACTGAAACATTAAGATTTTTTTGCCTCAGCAGTGCTTATGCTGAATATTAGAGTTTATGCTAATCTAGAGATTTATTAATTATTATTTTGGGCATGATCCATTGTTTATATAAAGGAATGGCATCTGTAAGAGGGAAGCGAAAAAGAATTGTCTCCTTGGTCATTTTGTCTCTGCAGATCCTGAAATATTAAGATTTTAGGCCCAAACACAGCAGCGCTTATGCAGAACATTAGAGTTAATACTAACCTAGAAATTTATTAATTATTATTTTGGGCACAATCCATAATTTATTCTATTGTGACTATTGTTTTTCGTCCTAGTTTGTCTACAAATTCAATTTTAGCTACATTTGGTACGCTGGAAGGAGAGGAGTCACATTGGTCAACTCTCGATGAAACCTCGGGTGGCTGCACGTTTCTGTTCTAGTTTATTGGAAATTTGAAAAATAAAAATGTTTATTTTGTTAAAATATTTCCTATTTTTAGTATCAATGATATATCACACCTTTTTTGTAATTAATTACAGAATAAAATTTTAAAATAAGGAACTATTTTAACAATTTAAAAACTATAAAAAGTAAGCTTGAACAATTAATTAAAATTAAGAAAACTTAAAAACACGCCAGTCCGTAACTTTTGAATAGAATTTATGAAAATGGTATCATACTTCCTTTTCCGTTAGTCCTACTTATAAAATAGTGCAGAAACTGCGATTTAGTACGTATTAAGCATTAAGTGCAGTACACTAATGATAAGGGGCGTTAGTGTTGGACCATTATTCATTCTAGCATCGTTTCGGTTCATCTAGAAGGACGATCAAAAGCAAGAATAATATATCAACCGCACACCTACTTTATAATTTTTCATTAGTCTAGCAAGACTTATCTTGTGTCCTTATCACTATGCTCTGCTCTCGAAGAATTTTGAGAACGATAAATTGAGGGCAAGATACACATAAAAATTATATGAAAAGCTGATTGAGATGCATGGTTGAATCTTAGCCTTAAGTAGAAGTATTAATCTTACAAGAATCATGACTCCATAAACAGAAGTCCCTATTTGTCTTTATCTGTTGAGCTCCATGCCTTGAGACATCGACACTTTTAAGCCTCAGTTGCAATTGCTGACGGACACAAAATTGCCAGAAAATCTAGTTTCATAATTTATCCATCATGCCGCGAGATAAAGGAAGAAAATGAAAGGCATTATAAGTATGAAGCTCAAAAATATACATGGATTGAATTGTAATTCCATTTCCCCGGATTTGTTCCCAAGTTATCCGTACGACCACAAGGCTTAACTTTCTGCAGTTGCAGAGGTAACTACTAATCAGGTTTCCTAGGTCCTTATAGCCTATTACATTAGTAGGGATGAAACCGGCCACGCCCACGATTGCGGTCATTATTTCGTTTTCCACCACGTGAGCTACCACCACCACTCCTGCCATGTTGGGACACAGGCAAAGGAACAGGCTGTTGCAACCCTGGCTGTTGCCTACAGCCCAACAAAATAAATAAACTCAACTATTGATGGTGCTAATCATTATACTAATGTCGAATGAGGTAACACATCCTAACATACATGAGTAGAAATGAGAGGTTAAACATCTAAAACTAGATAAATCATGATGATACTTACAATACATATCCAATCCTTCCATCTGGTAAAAGCATCGGCATCATTGCCATGCCAGCAGGGGTTGCTCCGGTACCATACATAGGTGGCTGCACATTTAAGGACCTTGACATCAGTAAAAGACACATAGAGCCATAGATGCACCACGTATCTGCAGTGTTCTTTAAAAGAGCAAAGAGAGGAGTGCATTTCACTTCCTTACTAAAAGCTACCGAGCATAGAGCAGATAGAGTAAAACCCTAACGCAGTTACAATATTCCATTTATCAATTGTTCAAATCATATAATCATCATACAAATAAATAGGCTACTGTGATTTACTATATCTATTACCACATATGTTAACATAATTAACATAGATATGAACATATGCAGACCTATGAAGCCTAGATACTTAATAAGACATGGATACAATACAATACGGATATGGAGATACCGAAAAGATTTAAAATTCAAGATTTGATAAGAGTTAGATACGTTAACATGAATTTAAAGAAATAATATACTTTATACATATAAAAAATATTTATAAAAAAATATTGATAATTCATTTATATTAATGTGTTATATTTAGATATCAATGATCACATCTTACAAAAAAAAATATATGAGATCATATTTTTCTTTTGTCTAAATAACTAAGTCAAAATATTTTTCCTACTATAAACACAAAAAAATTACATACTTTACCCTTTTTATTTAAATTAGAATTTCACAAAAGAATTAGTAATTTTATTAAAAAAAAATATAGAACTATCATAAAAAGAAGATCTGCCTTTATACTATTTAATTCTATCTAAACTGTATCAAATGATTAGGAGCCATATTCCAATCGTATCTAAGTTGTATTAGGTTAGAAATTAATTTTTAAAAATAAATTAAACTATAGATGCTTTTGAGATAAGTATTTAGATGTATCGGATAACCTATAGATGCTTTTGAGATAAGTATCTAGATGTATCGGACATGTATCGGTATCAGATACGTGTCCACCACGGATATGTTTGTTGTTTTGAAGTATTAGGGCTTCATAGATGCAGACACTTGTCAAGAGACCCTAATTCCACAAATGGAAGATAATGTTAGCCTGTATGTCCCAGGGTTGAGGGAAACAAGTCCATCAATAACTAAATTTGGGGTATGTTTTGAAATGGGATTTTAGAAGAAAAGGGAAAGGAGGAAATTGTATTTCTAAAATTTGAAAAAAAATTAAATAAAGGAAATAAAATGATAAATTTGTATAAACTTAATGTTCCATTTTTTTTTATTTATTGGCAAATGCTAACTAGTGCCCTAGGACACTAATTAAAGAACTAAAAGTATAAAGTTTTTGTCAAAAAAGTCATTAATATACCTCTTGTATAATTTCTCTAATGTATTCCCATGTAATTCTCAAAGGCACTTGTTGGTAAGATGCTTATTTATTTTTATAAACATTATATAACCCTAACAATTTTAAGGTACAAATTTTACCCTCTCTTCCATTTCCCTTCAAACCCCATTCCAAATATATCCTAAAGAAAGAACTACAAGTTGGAGATTTTATGGCAAGTGAAATTAAGGGGGACTATTCAAGGCATCAATCATCCAACTTGACAAAATTTTTCATGCTTTACAATTAGAGAAGTGCAGCTCACTCCCATCCCACGCCTTCTCTCTCAAGGTGAGACCGCACGATTGCCACTGTGTTTTAATGGGAAGCATATTCCTTGCAACCCCCAACACTCAACTTTTTGAGAATGCTGCTTTACTAAAAAATTGGACTCTACCAAGGAAAAGAGAAAACTTACTTGTGCGAAGCCAGCAGCACCATATCCTGCACCAATAGCACCATAGGCACCTCCAATCATACCATAACCAAGAGGAGGTTGATATGTGGGAAGTACAATAGACTTCTGTGAATTTGCTGTCCCAGATGACTTCTGATCTGCCTGTGGCTTTGCAAGTGAACACTCCAAAGTTTGACCTATCCATCCCAAATAAATTAATGCTTATCATATGGAACAACTGTCCACTTCAATTGAAAAAACATATATATAAAAAAGGTATTCAAAAAGGGAAATAAAAACTACCATCAATTTCATATTTCTCAGTATTCTTCAATGCCTTCATGGCACTTGACCTTTCAGCAAAGTGCACAAAACCAAATCTGCTTTTTTCTTGTCCAGCTTTGGCAGGAGGGAGAACCACTTTTGTGATCTTTCCATGATGTTCAAATAGCTCCTTTAGTCGATCCTGAGTAATGTTTTCTGGAAGGTTCTTTACATACAATGCTTTTACCTGTAACAAGCACCTAGTCTTAGTGGTACAACTTTCTAAAAAGAATAACTAAAAATCCAACAAGCATTTCATTTGGAAGACCACAAGTTAATCCTATAACCATAACATTAACAGCTCCACATAGACAACATAATTACATAAGCATATAACATTATTCCCAATGGTAAGGCAGGGAAAAAAACCTTGCTTAAAGCTCCCAAAAATTATTTTAATTAACAATAATATTTTAAAAATTTAAACAAACCAATAATGATGTGATGAATAATAGTAGTTTATTATGAGTAAATAAACATGTTTTTCAGAGAAGGTCCCTCATCCTATTATGACTCTACATAAAAAAAGCACTGTATATCCCTTCACACTCTACTGATAATGCTATTCCTACTCCTCATTGTATGTTCAGTGTTGTCACTACACAGTTATATTTCCTAGTCTTTTCTTCAACCGGGTAAAAAGCTTAGACCTTGTTGTCTAAGACAAACAGAAATGTTAAACAAAACCAATTATGACAATTTAATAAGTAATTTTGCATCCTAAAAATTCAAACTATTTTCAAATAAAATCATAATAATTTTAATAAAAAAATAAAATAAAATAAAATTGTTCTCATGAGTTTAAAAATGTCTTATTTTAAAAGTTTATTTTAAGCCTAGATAAACATTCGGCTGGCTTGGTGAATCCCATATTTATAACAGCAGCAAATAGACGATATAAAATAAATACAATAACCAGGGATCCCCTTCTTCACAACTTGCAAAAGCAAACATTGACATAGGCAATAGAAAGATTGTTAGGTAATTTGCACACTTTAAAAAATGCTAGGTAATTTGGATTCTCCATTTTCTGTCTTTTTAGAGCAATACTGCTCCATGCATCTCTCCTTTATGTTTTGGGCTATAGTATATTGCTATCTGTTCTCACTAATATACCTTGGGCCATAGCCAGGTTGGATGTTCTTCAAGATGTTTTTAGAAGCTAGATATAATTTTCCTTCAAGTCCAAACCCTCCCTCCTCCCTTCCCCCCAACTTCTTCATATGTGCAATTTAGTCCTATAGCTTTCAAAATGGGTAAGAACATTCTCAAACTTCATATTGTGCACACATCAGCCCAAAAATGTTGGCAATGTCAATTTTTGAAAGCTATTCTTTCAAAATGGGTAAGAATATTCTCAAACTTCATTTTGTGCAGATATCAGCCCAAAAATTAAATTCAAGGGAAGTTATTCATAAAATTTAATTTCAAATATCAAGAATATAATAAATCACCTGAGAGACTGCAGAGGATTCAGAATTCCTTGGATCAGCCCAGCTCACTGTTGGAGCATTACTGTCAAGTTTAAAGTTTGAATTTGACATTTTCTGCCTTGAATATTCTGCACAAGCATGATTGTAATACTCAATAAAGGCAAACCCCCTATTACGGCCAGAGCTCTGTGGATCCTGTAACAATGAAACAGTTTGCTAGGTCAAGGCAGAAATTACCCATCATTCAATGCACTTCATAGTTTTGTTAACAAGAACAAATGTAAAAAAATGTTAACTAACACAAAAAATCAAACCATATAAAATACAGTAGAAAAAAATAACATCAACAAACCTTCAACAGTTCCACAGAAATGACTCCAGGCCCAATCTCTGCAACAACTTTCTTCATATCTTCTTCAGTCCAATTTCTAGGAACATTACCAATGAACAACCTATGCTTAGCCTGAGACGTTGAGCATTTTATTTTTCTTCCCTGGAAACTCAGACAGAAGTGTGACTTATTTCAGATTACAGTACTATGAGGCCAGCTAAACTGATAAGATAAAATATTTAAAAATTAACAGACAAACAAATCAAAAAGTGGGACTTTGGAGTCAAAGACTTGATAATCAATGAACAAGATAACCACTAGAGATTAGAGAAAATTACAATAAACAAGCGTAAAAATAAAATACCTTAAATTCAGAGTTGTTTAGCTTGTCAATAGCCTTAGATGCCAATTCCTTCGTCTTGAAGGTCACAAAAGCATAACCTTTTGCTTCACCAGATTCTTTTCCCTTCATAATCCTAACCTGTACAAATTTAATCAGTTTGGGCAATCATGAAAAGGGTAAAAAAAAAGGATAGAAGAATTTCATGCATCCTACCTCCAAAACTTCTCCCACAGACTGACAAAAGACTCTTAAATCTTCTTCAGAAACTTTTTGCAGAATGCCCCCAATGTAGACTTCTGACCCATGAGGTGGAAGAGCAAGAAGCTCAGCATGTTTCTTTTTCTCAACTTCATCCTCAGTATCTGCCACTTTCATCCCATCTTCGACATCCGAGGGCTTAGTCTCTTCTTCATCCTCCCCCTCCTCCACCTCCTCTTCCTCTTCCTCCTCTTCTTCTTCTTCTTCCTCTTCCACTTCTTCCTCCTCCTCTACTTCTTCATACTCAACTTCTTCCTCTATTGTCTCCTCTTGATCATTGTCTCCATCAAGGTCTACCTGCTCATCGGAATCTGTAGGTTTTTCAGGCTCACTGTTCCTCTCTGGAGACTCTGGATTTTGGGCTGTTACATCTCTCTGCCTTGTCCCAGGCATTTTGTGCATCTAAAAAAGCAAACTTGCAGGGGAACTGTGAAGGAAGCACAGATGCCAGAAGCATTCATAGAAGAGAGATTGCAAATATGGAAAGGTGGAAACAATATGAGAGGCCAAATGGAATAGCAGAGTAAGAATTTTGATAGAAACTGTGCCATGAGGTATGGACCAAGGAGTAGCAATGTGATTGATTCTAAATCCAGGGATCATCAAAACATAGCAACAAAAGTAACAAAGACAGGCAAGAAAGAACTCTGAATGAAAAATCAAGAGGATAACAATGCTCAACAGGCCAGTAAAAGACAAAATAATCTACAGAGAAATGAATTCCAGAATTTCTCAAAGTTTAGAAGCCGCGAGTTTCCCAGAAAGAAAATAGAGGCCAGTTTAATCCTTGTCTAACTATTTGTCAGAGGGCGATGCACACAGAAAGAGGTGGGGAAAGGAACAAAAGCAAGAAATAAGAAACTGAACTACATGATAATAAAATATACATACAAAAATGTCACATTATATGTAGAGAATAATTAAAAGTTAAAAGCAACGCATTCTACTCCAAAGCCCTCACTGCTTAACTAGGCTAAGATATGTCACATTATATCAGTGCTTTTGTGATACGAAAACAATCTTACAGTTCCCTAAGTAAGAAATGTAAAGCCTGTAATGTAAAATTTCGCATGAGAATGCGTTGTCCAAGAACCACACCTCCACTGAGAGATCCTCATTGAACGATTTGTTATGTATTATACACTGTCACTAACTAATCTCAGCGAGTATCAATAAACTATATGAACAAGATGATTCTTCTACCCTATTTCATTTGCAATATTACAGGATACCAAAAAAAAAAGTAAAGCTCTGCTGGTTTGAGCATTATTAACAGGAACAGCAAGAGAAGCGAAAGTACCTGATCGAAATCGAAACTCCAAAATCGTTGCGTTCCAAACCCTAATCCTGTTTTGTGGGCGTGCCCTTGTGCTTACTGCTTATGGTGGCCAAATTCACTGTTGGCCGGCGGTGTACAGGGGTTTTTGCGTTGGGCCTTTGGACCGGGCCTTCTACGCCTTCATCATTTCTTACTGTTAGATTTATATATACATTTTCTTTTTATCCATAATCTTTCAACATTCGAAATTTTAGAGCTTAAGAACATTAAAGGCCGTAAAAGCTTCCTCTGAGTATATATTGATATTGAATACACACGTGTATTCGGTTTTTTACTTCAAGAATCATTCTTTTCATAAACAATAAATTTTTCAAATTTTGGAGTGCTAGTAGAAGATAGTATTTATTTATCATTTTATAAATAAATATTTTTTGAATTATGAATGACTTAAATGTTAAATTGTATGAAGCTGTTCCTCCCGTCAATGTATTACTTTTTAAATGTTAAACTTAATCCAAATTCCAGTTTCTTAATAACCATTGATATCTTGTAATAAAAAAATGAACGGGCAAGTATATAAATACATTTTAATTAAATAAAATAAATATTTTTATTACAACTTTTTTACACTTTTTCTTTAGCTCTTATAGTTGATTATCCATCCTTGAGAAATTTCCAAATCATGTAAAATATATATACATCGGGGATGCTAAAGCAGAATTCACATTAGTAGTTAATATTTCGCATTAATTATGACTATGATTGCATCTTTAACTATCGGCAAACAAGCCCTGCAGAGAGTATAATAATTTAGTTTTGTACATTTTATGATGTCATTGTTTCGAAAAAAACACTTCATGATCATCTAGTTAAATTCTTTCATTATGATTACTAAAATGTCCAGACATGTGTAGTAGAATTAGACTCTCTTAATCACATGCCTTCAACAATTGCAGTGAAGAGTCCAAAAGGTGAGAGGCAAGTTTGTAAGATGCATGGAATTAGAGGAGAAACCAATGAGATGCTGGACAAAGTGATATGAATTTTTGGACATTTGGGACTCGGGTGTACAAATCTTCTGTGATTTTGATAAAATAGAAATAAAAATAATTGAAAACTACGCATGAGTTTCCATCAATGATTTGTTTTCTTATATAAGTTTTAATTAATAAAATTAATTGAAAACTTATAATCTATATTTAATAATTGATAAGCTAGTAAAAAATTTATAATTTATAGTTGAAAGTTTATATTTTATAATCAACTAATAAAATTAGAGTGTTTTAATTTAACTAGTTTTACAACTAGTTAAACTGTGTTAAATGATTAAAAAAGAAAGGATTAAAATTATTTGGTGAGAATGAAATTTATTTTAACAATTTTTTTAACATGTATCTAAAGAAATATAATAACCACTAAGCAAATGAACCGGCTAGCACGGAATTGTATCAACTTAAAAACTTATGTATAATAAAGCTTTTATTGAAAATAATAAAATAGAATTTAATGCATTAAAAATTATAATTATTAATAAAAACTTGCTATTTTTCAAAATTCTTAATATTTACCCTTGAAAACACACTTAAAAACTAACATTTTATAAAATTTTAAGAATAAAAATGAAAAAAAGAAAACTAATTTGTAATAAACTAAAAACTCCTCAACTTTTCATAAACTAGCTTTCAAACAATTTGAAAATTTACAAACTTCTTTTATTTTTTATTTATCAAATAATTTTGTAATAATAAACAAAAACAACTAGAAACTCTTAGATAAGGTGTAAGTTTCTATTACTAAACACTCCCGTATTGTGCTTTCCATTCGTGTTGAGTTCTTTTATGTTTAGCAATTTCTATGTTCAAGAGAGGCGGGAAAGGGTCGTTGCTTTTTTTGCTAGGTTCAAGTTTTTAATTCATAATCATATTAGTTTGGTTCAGACTTTTGATATTAGTTGCCAACTTGTGTGTCGCTAATCTTTGTGTTTTGGGTCAACTAATTATGTTGTAGTGTCTTGTGGGTTACTGGGTCTATCTCTGGCCCTTTTCATTATCGTTGCGTGGAACAGACTTATATGGGTATACGAATGTATATTTCTTGAAAAAGAGAATCTTGAAGAAGTCATCAATCTGGAACTAGGTCTAATCCTCTGAAATTGTCTTCTCCTGCAAAAATAGACATGTTGGATAACACAGTTGCATGCCGAAAACCTGTTCAAGGGTTGTAGGGCTGGCTTTATAATGTGAACGAATGAAACTTGTCTGATAGATATGTTTCATTCTCTTAAGAGCACACAAGCTGCATGGGTAGCACGAAATGCCAGAATCTGATCTGAAATGCTGATCATAGCAACAGGGCTGGATAACCTTGACATCTTAATTAAGTTCCCACGGATTCACAGCCAATGTAAAAGGTAAATCAACAACCTATTTCTCAATGTATGTTCTGAAAGAAGTTACTTCCGGGGTAATCATAAAACTGAACATAATAGTGTCTTAAAAACTAGAGTATGATCTCTACTTTACGGGATACAAAAAATAAAGATTTCTTGATTTCAATTATAATCAGTGAAACTTATTTACCAATTACGAAGAGAACCTAAAACAAATGATCAAGCATTATTGCTAATTAAGTCACTAGGATTGGGCTTGAGCTGTGGAGAAAGGCTTGAGTAATTTGCATCAGAATGTAATTTCAACTCTCATTGTCACCATCATACAATAGCAACCAAGCCTTACAGTGTCACCATCATACCATAAAAAAATATTGCCAACAAAAATGGTTATGTCTCCTCCAGTATCCCATATGATAGAAAGGACTTTACATCATCAAGTGATCTTGTTATAGCTCATAGGAACAAGTGTTTAAATTCTCCATTTGCAAGCTGGCAAAGCTTATTGTAGCTGACCATATCTGCCAATAGGGTTTAAAAATACATCAGAACCCACAGTTCATATATTTAGGCATGTCGTAAAAAACAATCATAGGGAAAAAATTTTATTCCATATATTTCATGACCAAAACACAAACCAAATTGACGAATGGGAAGGAAGAAGAATACCAATTGCATCACCAAAATTGGTCCATATCTCAGCACGAATTGACTTATCACTATCAACAATACCAATAACTTCTACAAAATTTGTAAGAGGAGTAGGTGGAGGTGATCCTTTTACAACCAGCTGCTTCTCATCTGTTGATTTTCCAACGACAGCGCCACCATCAGATCGCACAACCTGTATCAGTGCCCGAACCCTCCTTCCAACATAAAAGTGTAACAGTTCTGCGTTGACAAAGGCCGCAGGATTTGATGTATCCATCTTCAGCAAAAGACACAACAAGATGACCTGATTTAAAATACAAAAAAGACAAAACCAGAATTGATGGTAAAAAAGGTTGTCTTCTTTAGTTTACTTGATAGTCAAAAGAAACAACAACTAGCTTTCATTCACACACATCCTGTCTCATATTTTACTCTTGTTCAAACTTCAGATATCCCTTAACTGAGCAAAACTACACTGAAAGGTTATATACAGTTGCCGTTCACTAAACAGCAGGTCATGCTGCCAAAAGGTGCACATCTGAGACCGGTAACTTCAAATTATATATATTGACGGGCACCTTTACTAGATGAATCACTATTGCAAGTGACCAACCCATCAACTTAAGATAGGTCTTCTAACTTGAGCTGCTGCTAGTACTACAATTGGGGTTATGGGAACAACGGTAATTACTACCTACTTGCAAAAACTGATCCTGAGTCTCAAAATGGCACAATATTTCACATTTGACGAAAAAAAAAACCATCTCAAAATATCACAAGTAAGAGAGGGCTTAATGGTTAGTAATTTGTTACAATGCGGGCAGGCAATCATGTTTGTGAAAAATTGAAATACCCTAAAAAAAAAAATCACAAAAGATTACACTATACGGGCATCAAGGCTATGTTAAGATATTATACAACGGGAGAATGCTATAGAATAATTATTTGTTATCGTTTACATATTCTACGATGAGATAGAAGAAAAACGAAATAAGAGTATTTTTATTTAGATAAAATGAAAGTATTTGATAAATAATCAAACAATAGCTAATATCATTTTATTTCGTTTTCCTCTGTTCCATCCCTTTTCATCGATCTAAACAATATGATTGAACTCTATCAAATCAACCAATTATACGAACTCCACTTTAAAGGATACATTATATTTCTTTAAGAATGCAACAAATGCTCTATTGATGATGAAGACAACAGTGGAATCCTTTTTATGAAAAAGAAAATACTAATTGTGACGCGCACAACACACACAAAAACGCTACGGAGCGAAGAGAATTTGGTACTTGAATTGGTTAAGAAGCACCAAACATCGTTTGTTAGTGAATGGAAGATGAATTGTTACCTGACCTGATTGAATTCAGAGGCCAATTTCTGAGAAACAAAGCGGCAAAACTGAAGAAGCACGCGAAACAAGTGAGAGCGCGCGGGTTCTCCTTTCACTCCGGGTTTGGAGTTGTTTCCACAATAAAATATTTATAATTAAAAACAATTATTAGGTTAAATTAAAATTTTAACAATTCTAATGGTTCAATATCGCAACTAATGCGATTGATAATGGTTAAAAATAAATCTATATGATTCTTTTACATTTTTTCAAATGGTTCCTATAATCTTCCTCACATTTTTATATTTTGATCATTCATTTTAACTTCAATTTAATATATTTTTATTTTAGTTTTAAAATAATAAATGGCTATATATTTGATGATAGTATTTTTTTTTTTAAACTAACATTTTTAATTCAGTGAAATATTCTCGATTTTACAAGTATTTTCCTATTAAAAATTGTTGATCCATTTTATTGTTTGCTTTTCTAACATTTTGACAATTATTGAGTGTAACTAAAATCTATCATTAACTCACAAAACGCAAAGATAATACAATTGTTAAAACATATAAGTAAGAATGGGACCTAGAAAAAATAAATTAGCAACTAGTGCTAATTGTGGCAGCCGGTGTTATGATAAGGATTTATTCTGTTATTTTCTAATGTAGATGAGTTGCTAGTCTTTTGTTTATTCATGTGCATCCAACATTAAAATTGGCCCAAGAGTGTTTCTTTAATCTAGTTTAAATACGAATTTTTTATTTTATTTTATCCATACACAAGAAAATAATTCTAATTGAGTTATTGTAATTCAGCATCCTGATAACTCCTTAAACTACCCATTTTGTGTAACTAATAAATTATAACCTGGCTCTGTCATGTAATGAAATGCTAATTTTAAAACTATTTTATTTGGCCCTTATACTAATTTTCAATTTACTCCTTACATAAAAAAAAATAAATTTTTATACAAGAAAAAAATCTTAAATCAATTTTGTATTATCACCCAAGAGTTCAACCTCACTGTTGGAGTCATCATTCACTTATTAGCTGACTTGCTTGGTTATTTCATCCTTAAAACTTGGACTACGTTTTTGCCAAGTTAGATTTTTCACCTAGCCCTTCATCAGACATGTGTTATTCTTGATATGGCCTTGTTTATTGATGTGACACTCCTCCCTCATGGTCATTTGTGCGTTTGTTTATGTGGGCATTCCACGAACATTTGGACTGAAAGTCCTTTCGTTTTAGTATTCGTGTTCTCAGGTATGCGTATGCTTAGTTGCGATGATCATAACAATGATACAATTAGTTTTCTTGTCATTTATGCAATAGCTAGCCAAATGGTGGGTTAACAGAGGGATAGCTTCTTATGTTTTGATATTATCAATAATTGCCATTGCTATTAATCTCATGGAAGATTTTATGATTTTAATGGCCATGCCCATGACAGTTTGTTTACTTTGGTACGTACTTTACTGTTTATTTACTTGTGCTGAACTGGTTGAATAAAAGGATGCAGAAAGTTATGCAAGAATAATTGTACGAACAATTTCTCCTAGTCTTTCCTATTTTGTATCGCTTTGTTAGTTTATTGATTGAATTTATTAATGATATATTCAATATAAATTGTTTCTATTTTTTTAATCAAACAAAAAAAGTGTAAAAATAGTGTAACAATTACTACCTGCAAATTGCATAATTGTTTAATGAAAAATGCTTGGACGCTTTACTGAAGAACATCGGTAACCATTGCTCATTGAAAATGTATCTAAATAAATACATGTAACTCGCACACGGAGATGTGAATCATCAAGTACATCGGAAAAAAAAAATATGCACGATGATCACTTCAACATCGATAGTGAACTAATTTATTTGTGAACACAAAATGTGAACTAATTTATATAAAAGGGAAGAGACCTGACCAAAAAACCAACCTAAACAATCTCTATATTCTTCCACATCTCTCAGGGGAGAAAGTTCATTTCTCCTTTATCTTCTTGGTTATGGCAAAGACAGCACCAACCACAGCTACAATTATGCCTGAAACAATAATGGCTGATTTTAGTGTTTCCAAGGAATCCTTCTTTTTCTCGTGTTTGGCCTCAGCTTGTTCCTTCAAACAACCAAGCAAGTACACACATATATGACAGCAATCAGAGCAACGAGATGTATATATAATTCTACCCTAAAAAACAGAAAAGAGAATGGTTCCACAATTCAAATGACAATTTTCTATGTTGGTAATACCTTCATTTCCTTGGTGGCAGCCACCTCTGATGATACAGGATCAACTTGAACATGAGTATTACTTGCAGGATTCAGCTCACCCGCAACGTCTGCTTGTGGAAACGTTAGGTCTGAATTCTCTGGTGTGGTTCCCATTTTCTTCTAGCTTTTACGTAAACCTCGTTTTCGAATTCAGAGTAGGAGAGAAGAGAGGAGAAAAAAGAAAATTAATGATTAAGGTTTCATGGCCAATTCAATGCCAACATGTTGCTCAAACTTAATTGACACGTGTCAGTGTTACAAATATTGAGGTTGCCGAGATAAGTGTTCAGACTCAGCTAAATTTTCGGTGATTAGGACCGAAATGAAAAAAAAAAAAAACTATAACTGTACCCAAATAATTGAACAAGCCGGGACAGTGACTTTCATTTAGCTTCACCTTTTTGGGGGAAACCAAAATGAAATGTACCCAAATGCCCGGTTATATACTATAACTCGCTTATCATGTTACATTCCGTTTTAACCTTGCGGGAAGAGAATTTAACGAAAAATTAGAAATTAATCGCCACCGGAAAACTTAATTTATTTTGGTTACTAAATGAAATGAGTTTGTGAATAACAGAGATTACAAGCACCTTTGTTTAGCAACACTGTGTTGCGGATGAGACAAATTATAATACAATTCTACAGAACGCAAAGTAACGCTTGCAAGTCAGAAAATAAAATGAAAAATATTGGACGGCCTCCATGAGTAACATTCCACTCCCACGCCAAGATACAAAGTTGTGATTGTACAAGAATGACACACACACACACACACACACACACATATATATATATATATATATATGATATAACTCATCTGTGCTTAAATTACACCAACCTCCTAGACAACCCTCAGTGCAATATGAATTGATCTAACGATGGTAAATAATTATTTTAGCTGAAGAAAGCTAAATTAAACAAAGTTGATCACTAGTGATCTGTTGATCCAAACTTTCCATTCTATTGTTTAGTGTTGATTGTTGAACCTTTTAGAAATTTCAATTTTTGCTCCCAAAACCACGAGGAGTTGGCCTTGCTGGTGTTGAGTCTGCAAATGGACTTTTCGAATCTGATCTCTTCCTTCTCCTTGCAGTGCCAGGTGGAGCCTGATATTGGCAGAATGCAGAAACCAGAAATCATCAAATGTTCTGATATACATGCATATACGAATACAAGCACAAGATTCACAACACTGTTCTGTATTTTGTTCCTTTCTTTTTTCTTTATAAAGTCCAGAAATGCAAATGATTTCATTATTTCAATAGGATACTTTACTTAAAGAAGATGCTGAAGGTCGTACAAGTCTTACAGCATGCCTATGTTTATTGCATCTTCACATACATCGCACTTCCAATCAAATTAAAGCACGGGAATGACATAAAGACTAAAGAGATTAGAATTAAAGACTAATTCAAAATAGCATGGATTAAATGCATGGTGGTTACACAATTTAAGCATAAGACATCAGAGATGTTACAGCTACATTGAATTACTGAATGGCCCGTCCAAAGGATACCAATACTATGAGGGTTTTGAATACCCCCGTATTATTTTACACAAACAAGCTCAGTTAATTCAAAAATAAAATAAAATAACTTGAAAATTGTTAAAACCCATATACTTAAAAAATGAAATCACCTTTTCCTCTGCTTTAAGTGCTTCCTCAAGATTACTAAGGGTTGGAAGTGATCCACTTTCCATTACACCCATCAGGTTCTTCATACGAACACGCATTTGGAATAGTTGAGCTACAAGCTGGCTTATCTGATATTATTGTTGGACATTCCTCTAAGTTAGGAAGTATATCACTGGTAGAGAAACCACAACTTTGCATGTCACCAAGTCAAAAGTTAGATTTGAAGGAAAAAAATATATAAATACCTGCTGCTCTGTTTTCCCTGAATCCTGAGCAATTCTTTTCCTTCTGACAGGGGATTCTGCCAACAGTTCTGGCTTTTCCCTCTCCTCTGGAAATAAAAAAGACAACTGGTTTAGCAAAATCAGCTAACCTAGATTCAAGAAAATGTACAGTAAAATAACAAAGTAAGTTCTTACAACGACAAAAAGTATAAAATTAACATCTTTATCATGTGATAACCAAGGGAATCTGGGCCCTGGGTTGCTTCTGTCAATCTTTTGTTATAAGAATTTTATGTAATGACCATTATCTCATTGATAATGTGCTTATCCATAGCACATAATATGTATTACATTCCTTAAATACTTCAATTATAAATAAGAATTAGAAGAAGATAACACATAGTACCATCATTGAAGCCTATACATGTAAAAGATCTTTCTCATTCAAGCAGGAATCTAAATAGAAAACAGCAATCCACTAGAAGTGTAGGAGAGAATGGACCGAGTATTGATCACAAAAAAGGGTAAAGACAGTGTATCTACTTTATGTCTCACTGAAAACAGGCTATTAAGTTTTAAAAAATCACAAAACACTCTTTAACAACTGAGTTCCAAAAAGACCAAAAATCATTGCTGATAGGATATTGAACTGGTAGCAAAAGAGAAAGTGAGCAACTGAAGGACAAAAGTCAACCAGGTAATGCAACTCATCAACATATGCTGCATTTCACCTCAATCATTGCTGACGCAAGTATTTTACTTGCATGAGATATTCCCATGTTAAGAAAGAAAATTACATAGATAAAAATGACATCAGCAATTTTAGATAACAGATATGAAATCATTGAGTAGAGAGAAAGGACCAGGGGTCATTGCTTCTATCATGGCTTCCATATTTTTTAAATTCTTCTCTGCATCTCGAATTTGAGCAGGGGTAACCTGTATGCATGCATATGATATTGCATAAGTTCTATGACATCTATTGAATCAAAACTGCAAATATCAAGGAAAAAAAAATGCAAATGCAAGCAATGCTCAATTTATGATCATAAACCAAAACTGGGAGATTGTTGTCAGATAACTCCCTCCTTCGTTTACAATTGCTATGGGGCACAACATGCATAAAACTTTTCATAAATAGAAGCATTTAGTATAATTCATGTGAGGGATCTCATACCTTCCCCATACCAGGAATCATTCCAATGACACGAGAGACAGAACCCATTTTTGCAACTGCGCGAGTTTGCTTTAGAAAATCGTTAAAGTCAAACTTTGCACTCATGATCTTCTTTTGCAGTTCTTCAGCATCTTCTTGACGCATCTATAACAAACATGGTAAGCAATTGATTTATTTTTTTTGTGTGTACATGTGATAATTAAAATATAGAAATTTAATCAGACTTACAACTTCTTGTGCCTTCTCTACAAATGACAGAACATCTCCCATTCCTAGTATGCGTCCCGCCATTCGATCAGGGTAGAAAGGTTCAAGATCCTCCATGCGTTCCCCCCGTCCTACTAGCTTAATTGGCTTTCCTGATACCTGCCATCATTGAACTATCCACATAAACAAGATATGAATGAAAAAGGTTTAAAATGGTGGACTATGTTATTCCCTTCACAATTCCAAATGTGCCTAAGAAACATCAATAAAATTTATCACTTAAAAAAATCAAATAAATATAGAAGGACCTCCCAAAGCTGTGGGCAGACCAAAATCTTTATATTCACAAATTAAATGCAGACCAGTAGGATATTTGGGCTTTGAAATCCAGGAGTCATATAAATCTTGTCTAGATATATGTAATTTAGAACATAATTCCAAATTCTATGTGGTTATAACAAGTTCATGGACACATACATTGCAAATGCAGATTCCAGAATAAATCATGAGTTCTTAGTAGGAAGATATTGGGGTTACTGAGTATTCTCCATGAGAACTGCAATTTACATTTCCCTAGGCACATACATTCACTAGATGAGAGGCTGGATGCAGCCGAGACAAAATTTGTTTACCCTAGAAGAGTTTGTCAACATCCCATTTTCAGGCTGAAATTCTCTGAAAATTCCAGGGACCTACTAAGTTCTTTTTTCTCTCCGAAGACAGGAGACCTACTAGGTTAACAGATACCAGGATACCATAAAAATTGTTTTATGTCATTCCAAAGATAAACATATGAATGTTGATGGAGGCCAAGCCATCTATTAGAAATAGACTAGTTGGGTGTTTAGAAAAGCTTATTTGGGTTTATGGAAGAGGCTTATGACCTTCCTATAAGTTCTTTTTTAACTTATTTCACTAAATTTCATGGAGACATAGCTTATCAAAATAAGTTTTTTTAAAACTTATTCTGGTAAGCTTCACAATCAAACTCATGAATGAGATTTAATTTGCCAAAAGCTTATTGAATAAGTACTTAGTTAAGTTGTTTGCTCAAATGTGGCCTAGATCTACCACTGTAACTTAACCCCCAAAGTTACCTCAAGCAGAGAGAGTTGCCAAGTCTTATAAGGAGTACTTTGGTTATACTCTTAGCTGACATGGGATCAAACAACTTACGTCTTAGAACTGCACATCTATAAGTTATCCAACATTCCTTATATCAGTATAATTGACATAAAGCTTCAAGCAAATACAAGAACAGCAACAATGATATGATTTCTTATCCCCATGCATCTATTAATCACATTTTAGTAATTTAAGGGAACTAACTTTCAAGAGTTTGTAATGTTAAAAAATTCTGGATAGAATGGTAAACACTGCTTAAAATGAGAATAAATTACAAGGTTGCAACAATGTTTGAAATAAAAACATCTTAGCAAAGGTGAGATAAGGACAAGCAAACCTCTTTAACACTCAAAGCTGCTCCACCTCTTGAATCACCATCTAGCTTTGTCAAGATGGCACCTGTTATTCCAATCTCAAGATTGAAAGTAGTCACCAAGGCTGTACAAAGGAAATAGTAATGTAAGAATTTTGGAATGGTTATAATTGTCGTAATATAATAAGATATATCAAGCACAAAATTATAGCAAAGCCAATCAATAATAAGATAATCATTATTTCATAAAAAAGGATAATTTCTTTATGTTTTTCTTTACAGAAATTTTTCTAGTTGTGTAAAAGAGTACAAATACACTTCGGAATACCTGCAGCTTCTTGCCCTGTCATTGCATCCACAACAAGCAAAACTTCTGTTGGATTCAATGCCTGCTTTACTTCTTTTAACTCATCCATCATTGTTTTGTCAATCTACTTCATAAAAAAAACAACCTTGATCAATAAAATAAAATGGATTTAAAGAATACACAAAAATAATAAAATAATAATTCATATTTAATTTCCAATCCCATAAAGAATCACCTGCAGCCTACCAGCAGTGTCAACAATAACCACATCAATTTTCTTCTTTTTTGCCTCTTCTAAACCTTGTTTAGCAATTTCTGAGGGTTTAACATTGGTACCTGCTGTATAGACAGGAACATCCACCTGATGCAAGCTATAACTAATTATAAACATGACTAGATATAAAAATGACTGAAGAAAAAGTAAGAGATAAGTCAAATCCTACTTAGACATTGTAGTCCAATGTCTGAATTATGTGGTAAAAAAAAGAATGTTCATGATATTCTCTTGTTTCTTTGATATTTAAAGAGCCAAATGTATCTCATTAAATCCACTAAAAATGCCTAGGACGAGAAAATATGGCAAGATGTTATAGCACCACCAAAAGAGATAAGCATAATTTTTGTAACAAGCATATCATTTCTATTACAATACGCTTTCTTTATCAGCTTTGTACTAGTAACAACAGAAGTCTGAGGGTTCCATACAAAAAATTAATTGAAAATTTAAAATGATATAGATGATTGCATTTAAAGGATGTGTATTTCCCAAAAAATTGCAACTGGAGAACTTCAATGAAATAAAAACCTAGTACCTGTTTACCCAAAATAGCAAGTTGGTCAATAGCAGCAGGTCTATAAACATCCCCAGCGACTAGCATGCAACTCTTCCCCTGAGATCAAATTAATATGATTTGTCTCAATAAGGTGAAGGAACCACAAACTACCATCAAGGAGACAGAATAAGTGGGAACGAGAATGGAAGGACACCTGTTTCTTGAGATAATTTGCCAACTTTGCACAAACAGTTGTCTTCCCAACTCCCTGAAGTCCAGCCAATAAAATGACAGTGGGCCCAGATTTGGCAAAAACCAGTTCAGAAACCTCACCACCCATCAATTGCACAAGTTCATCATGGACAATCTGTAAAACTCAATGATCAACACCCATTGCATTCTTATATAGATATTCAGCACTCAAAAATGGCTCTCATTGATGTACCATATAGTCATGTCATCAATACAATATGATTACTAGATCATTATCTCATCCAAACAGATTTTCTAACCTTCACTGCAAGTTAACTATACACATATTATCAAGAAAAACTAGAATTATACATACATATGCGATGATTTGTTCACTTATCTAACAACGCAAGATTTAGTTATTGCAATAGTCATGTGGTGCATTCCAGTGCAAGTTGCACATTAGATAGAAATGCTAGTACTGTAAGTTTTTAATTGCAATGTCACTGAATAGCTTCTGATTTGAGCATAACTGAACAATTTTACCTTAACCAATTGCTGATCCGGTCTCACGCCTCGAATGAGACCAACACCCACAGCCTGATCACTGACAGACTGCACAAACCTTCTAACAACAGGAAGGCTAACCTGTCAAAACAACACGCATACCATGTTATGTTACCATTAAAAAGAGTTCCAAACAAATTAAAAGCGCATCTTACATCAGCTTCTAGAAGAGCTCTCCTAATATCACGCATAGGCTCCACTAGATTCTCTTTAGACAAAACCTCTACACATAAACAAACAGATATCCTCATTAATAACAATCTAAACAAGTAATTAAGAGGGTAATTATTTCGGAATAGGAAAACCTTCTCCTTTGAGCTTGTTCCATGCAGCCTCAAGGCCACTTGTCAATTGGCCGAACATTTCAGCCCTCACGACAACTCCACGCACGTCTCTTCTTCTCACAGCCACGCCCTTGGAGTTCACCCAACCCCAGATCTCTTTCTGCAACAAACCATAATTAATTATCGCTAAACTTCATTAGCTGTCTTAAACTCAGTCTTAACATAACTTACCGCAAAGCAATTTCTGGAAGATAAGGAAGCAATGGTAGAAGGAGAGGAAAACTTGATGGATTTGGCAGAAGAAGAAGAAGAGAGGGTTGGGTTGTGAGAGAGAGAAGGGGAAAGAGTGGAGAAATGGCGGGAGGCTAACACGGCCTCCATGTCCACTGCAGCTCAACCTCCTCGCTTTCTTTAGTTTCTATCTTTTATCCACACCCACAAATCAAAGCTACATCAACGTGGCATGCATCTATATATTTTTAAATTTAATATCTAACACTTTTTTATCTTCGGCTTGAGACTGGAAAGGACAATCTTATAAATACAACATTGAATATCGATTTAGAAAAATTTTGTAAGGTATTAAAAGCTAAAAGATATCTTATTGATAATATTTATTCAAGTTTCAATTTGTTAAAACAAATAAAAGATTATGTCATAAATTTATAATGTATTTTAAAAATACTTGTATCAATAAATGATATATTAAATGAGTAATAAATTAATATATTGTTAACACAAAATTTATAATAAATAAAGGTATGAAAATAATTAATAATTAATGCATTTGAAAATATATTTTTGTTTGTTATATTTAAGATTAAAAAACATAATAATAATAATAATAATAATAATAATAATTTATTATTAAAAGGTCAGAGAGAGTATTAGGTAACTAGTAAATAAAGGGGGGTTTTTTTTTTTTCTAAAATTTATTGAGTTTTTAATTTGAGAGAATCTAAATAGAGATAAAATTTTACTTAAAAATCAACATAATTGGTTTAAGAAATATATATTTAATTTTTTAAGAAAACAAATTATGTTTGAGTTTTGTGTATGATTTTTTTTATTGAAAATTGAACTCCATTATATTATAAATGCTTTTAACTTGAAAATGATAATTTCTTGTAGAGGATAAATGCTATTAAGACAAAAAGAAATTACATAAAAACAAAAATAAAATTTCCTGCCATTCGAACTGCCAAAGTCAACCATAAAGTGCTAGTTGATATTTGAATGGAAATTATTTGTGTTGTAACAGAAAAAACAAAGGTTTTTAGACAATCTATACATTACAAGATTAGCCGTAAAAAACTCACGGAGGTTAGGAAGTGAATCATTTATTTCAAGTACAATGGTTTAGGTAAACGATCAAATTGCAACCCCATTCTTTAAATTGGATCAACTCTATGACTTAAGTTTATATGTTATGATTAGAGCCATCAGATTTGAGAAAACCTTGTCTGAATAAATAAAAATGCTAAACCGTACGAAGAGAAAATGAAATGAGTATAATTGTCGAAGTAATATTAACAGATCTTCTCTGTACCCATGTATGGTATTGGTCATGCTCTCCAACGTGAATTCGTGTGAAAATGTTTCGAACTTGAGCAATCACATAAACTAGAGTATTATTTAGAAGAATGCAATTGATTGAATTTGTTGAAGTCTAGTTCAATCTCATCCAATTCCTTCTTCTGTTTCTTCTTCTCCAGTTTAGGAATGTGAAGCAACTTTTAGTTTTCCTCCATTACATCTTAAGAGTATCCAAACATTAAAATCGTAATTTTAATGTTACTGTATCACTTTTATCTCATTCAATCCATTTTACTCTTCCTTAAATATACAAACATAGACTAAATTGCACAATAAAATGTATTAAACAAAGCAGACAAACAAATTTGAATTCATTAAATTCTATACTTGGGGAGCTAAAAAAAAGTTAGAAGTCTTCATGGTTAATGACATAGAATGAGGAAACACGGTTAAGAGACTCACCCAAAAGCAATAACAGAAAAACACACACCAAAGCAGTACTGGGCATTTCCCAACTTGGAAACAAACATAGACCTCTTTACACCTTGTTGTTCCATCCATTCCCCTTCTTTCCCAAAAGGAGCTTATGTGAGTGCTCCCACAACATGGATGCACACCATTATGACATCAGCAATTATGTAGAAATATTGTGGGAGAACCAGTTTTCCTCTGTCGTCCCGGGCCAGCATGATAGAAAAATCAGATGCCTTTCAACGCCATGCTTCAGCCAATTCTGTTCTTGAATTTATACGTCCAATAATAGCAGTTCCCAGGTTCTTCTCCACGGCTCCTGCTACTGGAAGCTCAATCACCTTTCTGGAACACTTGTCTAAATCAGAAGCACTCAATTGAAGACTTTTGCTCCTGCAGATTTTTGCTTGATCCCCTTTTGTCAGTCCAGTAGTAAGGCCACTGTCTTGAAGTCCAATTGCCAAAGAGCAAATTTGAGACACTAGATTGCAAGGGCAGCTATCAACCAGCAACCTATTTCCACTAGAAATAAAATTTTCAGTGAATGTTGATAAACTTTTGGATCCAGTTTCAGTTTCACAGCCATCTTCAGTAAGACGCGTAGGGCTTTGTTGAGAAGGTTCAGCAGTGAGAAATACTGTATCCTCATCACTACAATCATTTCCATTTTCGCTGTCAGCCTTGTGAAGCACTTGTGAATCATTTTGGTGTCCATCGTCATCAAAAGAGCTAAGGTTTGGAACAGGATTTGATTTTACAATATACTCCTCCCTTTCTTTCAGAGTCTTCACAACAAGGGTCTTGAGAAAATTCATGACTTGTACCGCATACATCAAAGCAGTCAAAGGATCCGCCATCTGTAGTAGACAAGTCAGAAATTATGTTACTGCAGCATAAATTAATCAAACTCAGACCACTACCACAATTTCACATGTTTTACGAGAAACAAGATCAAAGGAATATACATACACACAAAGCAGAGTCAATCAGAAATGTTCATATGCACCACATATCAACCAGTGTTTGACTGATAACAGAATTTTGCACAACAAACTGAAAAATATCTTAGTAATACAAGAAATCACTGCCAAATTTATATTATTAAAAGAGAAAATTTTCTAAATATTCACCAGAATTTAGAAGAATAGAATTTTCCCAGTTTTACAAACACTTTTCAAGTTTGAAAAAACACATCACAGCATTCCAAAGAAATATTCAACCAGCTAAAGGATTTATTAGTCTACAATGAAGCTTGGCATGTAGATTCTGGTGAAACACCAAAAACAACTAATAATGATTACTTCAATAATATGGGTCATCAAAATGTTAAGGGGATTATTGCCAGCTCTTGAGAAATCTCCATGACCCTCGTTAAGGGAAAAAGCAACTAATAATGATGTAAATTTTTTTCACCAAGAATGTTTGACTACTTCAATGTAAGACAGTTGAACTAACTACATGGAAGATATAAAAACATGCCAAAATGTCTGTTCAACTCATTGAAGTTATATCCAATAATGGGGTTGACTTGTATAAATTCAATCCCGAAAATTGGGGCCAAGAGCAGAACTGTATACCACAGAACATGTCTTTAACTTACTTGAGTCATGTTCGGCGCAAAAACCATTGCAATATTACGTGCATTCATCTTGTTCAGATGTTCCATTTGAGCAACATCCGCCATTAAGTTTATTGCCCAATCTAGCAAAGCAGCTTCTGTTGGAGGAAGAAGCCTGACAAGCTCAGCACATTCTTCTTCTGACTGGGATTGCATCACCTGCTCTGGTGAAAGAGGGTCCAATACCCCAGTTGGCAGTTCTCTGAACCAAGCCTGTCAAGGAACTCAAGTACATCAAAATTAATGAAATAATCTCTTTAACAACTTTCAAATAGAAGATAGGACCAAAACCCAACAATCCAAGAACCTAATTCCAAATAAATCTCAAAACATTATAAAAAAAAGGAGTGATTTTGAACAGAAAAAAAAGTAGTAATACCTTTATAAGACCTGCCAAGCAGTGCACATCAATGTCATTTGGTACTACACCTCTGTTTAATTGTTCCCTCACAAACTCCTCTTGACTATTTTCAGCGTTAATTCTGAAGATTCCTTCAGCCTGGATGTACACATTCAAAATTTCAACTTCAAGTTTCAAGTCTATTTGAAATTAAACAACAAATCATACAAAAAGCTTCTCAGAAAATCATATGCAAATATAGAAAAAGGAAATGAAGAAATTTCCCATCCACTAACTAACTATCTGTTCAAGTAGCATGTTAATTCATATCACCTTTAGATTCTTACCAACAAAGCAAGAAGGACATAGGAGCAAGGTTAAGTACCTGCAGGCCTCCTTGTGCATACAAATGTCTTTGCATTAACAGCAGTATTGTGGGTACACTATTTCCTCTGGCATCAAAAGAAAGTTGCATAGATTCTGTTGAAACCCCAAAAACATTTGCACTGCAGATAATAAATGAACATATATCAACATTCAACAGGATGATATTAGTCAGGATGCATGCACCAGACATGTAATATGAGTCAGGTAAAGAAGAGAGAAGATTATCAAAAAGTAGCTAAGTGCAAATGGGGTGTTGTGTATTTGTATCAACAATGGCCATACTGACATTGACAAAAATAACATCACCGGGGTTTATTATTAATTGCCATCTCTGTTGCAAGAAATAATAAATTGTTTTATGATGAAAAATATAAGTATCTAACACCATGATGTAGTGAACTAAAATTGCAAAGAGAAAACTGATAACAGAACCAACAGGGAAACAGAATGTGTGTGACATAATCAACAAATATGAAAGAAAGCACCTAGATCAATGATTTTTCCCTGCCTCACATTTTTCTCATATTGATTACAGGTTACAGTGAACCCAACCCACTTCAAAAGCCTAATTTGCAAGACAGACAACTAGCATTTTATCAGCACGAATGAAACACAGATTACAGATGGATAAAATGACAGGGCATAAGGATGGAACTCTCTCCATTCACTGAAAAATTAGAATTAGGTGTCTTAGAGAGCCTTCAATCGTATCAATCATTCAACTTCAAGCTAGACATGAACAGTAAAAAGAGCAAGAGAGAAAAAAACAAATTACGGAAGCTGAAATTAAATAATGGAAAAGTGGAAAATGTAAAAGGAATGATGCATCCACATCCAAGTGATGATAGAATTAGACCACAATCAGCACAAATTAACTTAGAAACTAAAACCTCAATATAGAAACAACAACTAGTAAACTGTCGTTAGTTAAAAACCAAATATGAATTACAAAATTCTACATCACACAAACAAGTAGAACCACGGAACATAAATTTCCCAGAAAATACCCTCTTCAGAACCACATGTAGCGGAAGGAAAAATCAAACTTTGAAGAAACCCCAAGAGAACAGACCTTGCGCTTGGAGGTCTCCTTGGAACTTCAGGTTCGAATTCAACAGGCAAACCGAGAAAACCATGGAATCGATCGAAGGTAACATGGGCCACGTGTCTCACATTGGAAGGCCACCCAATCTCCATGGAGGAAGAAGGAGAAGAAAGCTCACCACTTCTGCTACTAATACTAGTGCTACAACCAATCAAAGATTTCCTAAAAGTAGCAATCAAAAGGGTCAAAATAGAAATCTGATCTCTCTCTCTGTCCCTTTCTTTCTCTTCTTCTTCTTCTTCTTCTTCTTCTTCTTCAACTTCCTCTGTTTCTGTGACCAAACCCAAATCCCCTTCTTCCACTGTGGGAGAGTTAATAAGGGAACTTGGGTGCGACCCATCATTGGGTGTGAGACCACCACATGGACGAGTTGAACAGCTTGAAGATGAAGGCAACTGAAGCACTTCCGTCATATTTGATTTTCCCTTTCTCACCACTTTTAATAATAATATTATTATTATTCTATTTCTTCACCAAAAGCCAAGATTTTGATGGAGTAGAGTTTCATTCAAGAAATGGGCTGTGGAAGGTTAGACGTGAACATCATTACTGTGCCTTCAGCTCCCCGCCTCCAGATTCTCGCGTGGGAGAGACTTCACCACTATTCTAAGAGGAATCATCCCATAAGAGAGAGAAAGAAAGAAAGAAACAATGGGTGGTTGGTTAGGGTGAATTGGAGCTCTAGAGTGAGAGAGAATATGCGTATGTGTATAAGGAAGCTTTTGCTGTTATTTTTTATTTTAAATAGTATATTTTTAATAAAAATTGAAACAATTATATTATATATTTAAATAATAAGATTTTATGTATATTATATAGTGTAAGAATTATTGTCTCTATTTATGTACGATGAGTGTTTTGGAGGTGGCACTGCCAGTGGCAGGTGATGCTTTCCACCTCATACGATGCCAATGGTGTACCTGTGTATAACACAACCTTTAAGACCTGTCTAATTTTATTTGCAAGATTTTTTTTTTCCTTCACAAATTCACTTCCAAGGATGACACAAACCACCCCACTGGTCGGGAATATGCCAATTCTATGAGCACTATTTTGGTTGAATTTAATTCAAACCTAATCTACTTGTTGCAAGATTAATACGAACTTTACAATAGCAAGAAAATTGTGTGTGTTGTTATAAATAAGGGGGCGTGTATTAGTTATTAGTCTCTTAATTTGTGTGTCCATTTCAAAGGGAATGACAAGCATAAACCAATCCAAGTCCAAAATCCAAGGTGATGAATCCACGACCACGACATGTGAGAATATGACATTAGAGGTGTAGACTAACCATTCGCTAATCGATCCGCTGCCCTATCCATTCTTACCTTTTTAGTGAATTGTCATTTTTTCCCCTTTCTTTTTTCTCTGCTTGGGACCTATTTTTATTATTATGCATGCTTTTTTTTTGTTGGGGGGGGGGGGGGGGGTCATTTTACTGTAGATGCTTAAGATGCATTATGCGCATTGGCTTTGTCTTATTAAACTACCAAAACAAATAATGAAATGGTGGTGTGCGCACCTACCTGGTCCACATGGCACCCCACCATACAACATAAGAGGTTAAATCAGATCAGAAATTCTTTAATGTTGTCCCAACGTGTCCTTAACTTCGTTGTCATTGTTTGAGTATTATGGCCATTGTTAGAGGAAGAAAATTGAGAAAGATAAGGAAGCTTCGGGACATGAGCTTACAAGGACCTTTCAATCTCGGAAAAGGAAAAATATAGGAGTTTACAACCATCTAAAGAATAAGAATAGGGTCGCATTCATAATAAATTTCTAATTACTTATAGCAGTGTGATATGTTACTTTAAATATGAAATTCTTAATGTAATTATCAGCGTGACTTATTGAATAAAATTTGAAATTCTTAATATGTTATTCCATTTTCTAAATATCCATTGAAAGGGAAAGGAAGAGAATTATCAAGCAGGTTGAAAATTACAATTGTACTTTTTAATGTTGCTTTTTTCCTCCTCTTTCCATTCATTGGAAAATGTAAATGGTGGGGATAAAATAAGAAAGGGATTCAAAATTTTCAAATTATACGCGTTTCGATAATTAACTTAGTTAAATGTTTATTTGATAAAAATTTATTATATGAGAATTTGTGTCATAAATTTTAACTGAAAATTTGATTAAATAAGTTTGAAAAAATTATAAAAGGCATAAGTTATTTTTAAAACTAGGAATAAACTTTCAAGCACACAATATATAAGTTGTTGTCAGTGGCAAGTTAGATATAGAATTATAACTTTGATATACAATATCAAAATACTTTGTTTTTCCGATGAGCTATTTACTTAATTCCATTCATTAACTCATTTTTCCGAGGAGATCTAAATGATGCTACAAGTGGCTGTTCAGAAAAGGATATGACCCAAAAAAACCATTATTGTCTAATTGTTTTACCTTTCACAATTTTGGCTATTATGAATGCAACATACTACTTGTCACTATATCAGCATAGAATTAGAAATAATGTTTCCAATAAGAATAGGACAAGAAGCATTCTGCCTAATGAAGTTGCTTGAGAAGAGCAACATGCAGCTGTCCATGACATACTGAATTAATTTCTTATTATTTTGAAATATAATTCTCACCCAACACATACTACCATTTAATCCTCACAAGAAAGCACAGTAACTTGAAATTGAGGGGAAAAAAATAATAGAAAACATATTATTTCGTGCTAATATTACCTAATGAATCTTAAGATGCTCATAACTGAAGCAACCAAGAAAAAAACATGCATAAAAAATGCAATGGGTCGGGATTTTCTTGTCTCCTCAAAGAAGCTACTCATAGGCTAGTTTCTTAACGGATATAATGCTAAAGCAAAGACAATTCATGGCTCCATGCTACTTTCAGGAATCTTTAAGCCCAGATAGGAGTGTTGCATTTAATAACAACGTATACCTCTCTTCCGTTATATAAAGCTTAGAACTAAGATGGAAAATAAAAAGCAAAAAGGAGACTTGCTAGCCCAAGCTTCAGTACTGGGCTGAAAAACCCAACTTTTTGGTAGAAAACCGTTTTGATTCCTCAGAATATTCTTATTTCGTGTTCAAATTCAAAATGGCTGGCACAAACGTGGTTTATGTGTAGCTCTCCCGGTGCAGATTCCACGAAAATGGCTATACTCATTTTTATGTGACTTTTATACTACTTTATGGAACTATTTTATTGATGATCTGCATCCACTAGGGTACATAAGGCTCCTACGGTCCTACTCAACTGCAGCATTAAACATTCCTTCTAAATAAAGAGCTAAAATTTTGGCTAACTAAGTCCGCAGTTGATTAAAGAATATTATCTGTTTGATATTGCGCTGCTTTTTATTTCTAAAGTTATATTTTTATATATTATATTTAAGAACCCCATTGTCTCTTACAATTTACGCTACACTCTATTTTGGGTTTGTTTGTACTCAATATATTTCATAATCGTTTCATCATTTCTTTTGAATTACCTAGTAATGGTTTCCAACTAATATTAGAACCCAAGTCCCAAACGCCAATTCACTTTTACCAGTTGATTCAAAATGGCAGATCCATGCACATTCCTTAAATTATACTGCAAAGGTATCACCCCCAAAATGTAACGACCAAGTTAAAAAAAACAAACAAACGAAACATTGTGGTATTCGCACATGCTGTGTAACATACTCTTCAGGGGGACGTGTGCACCGCAAAATGATTTCTAGCAAAGAATGCTACTTGTATAACTGCAATCTACAAGAGCATTGAGTCCTTTCCGACTAGCACTAATTTTAATGCTCAACACTTCATAGGTATGAACTATTGACAAAAGAGTGGAAAAAAAAATAGTGTAAAAACAGAAACATTTTTAAGGCTGTAATAGGATGATTACATATTTCTTCCGGGGTAGAATGACATGAACAGGAGAAAATTTAAGCAAAATAACAATTACTTCGCCGTCGGTTTAAAAAATGTTTCTTGTTTCAGCAAGACAAAACCTGTGGTAAGACCGTGTTTCGCAGATGAAATGTGCGAGAGCTCTCCAAATTTATGAAATAAAAAGTTAATTACCAAAATTACTGGAAGCGTTCAAATATGTGACCACATAGAGCGTCACTCGTTCAAATGAATCAACTGAAATCATTTTATTGGCAACTATGATTTCTTGGTGTAAACTTGAATGGCTATAGAGCATAGAGAGAAAGAGAAAAGTTTTCACGCTAAATGCAATATAAAAAGATGAGGAGAAATTCAGCTAAACAGGTTTATATGTAAACATTTAAAATTGAGTCCAAGTCATAGCCACCGTGCTAAAACACGAGGTATCCCAACCCAGACAAACTGGGCCGAAAAAGAACCCCAAATTAGTGGCTAACAAGACCCTCTCAAGATTCACAATTACAAGTTACTCTCAGTAACTACGCTGTTCAAATACACAACTGTTGAAACTGTAAAATATACTCATAAATGTTTACAAGAACAGAAATCAGGTCCTGTTCACGGGTTCAAGTGCCTCAACAGTGACCACACTATTTCCTCTGATTACCTGCAGTAAGAGGGCGAAATTGTCAATTTGAAAACCACTTATATTAAAAGGACCAAGCAAAAGAGGAGGACTCACCACCATCCCTATATCATTTTTCTCATTGCCATTCACTTCCACAGTGTTGTCAACAACTAAATTCATAAACTGGTCAAAGCCACGGAGAGTACCAACAATCATCCGATTTGCATTCAGCTTGACTGCAAGGAAAATCCAAGTGTTTCAGTATAATTTCTTGCCCCTCGTTGTAAGACATATTTTCAAACGTAAATCTCTAAAACTCATAGGTTTACATGTTTAAGTTTAATCTATATGTGCATAGATACATATGATATACCAAGAAGCAGTCAACACGTTAGTAAAATTCACAAATACTAAATTAAGAGGTGTATATAGACAAAATCTAACACAACCAAAAGAAAGAAAAGGATAGAAAGAGTTTAACGCTATTCTCAGTATCACACACACTTATCACTCCTTTTCACTATAGGAGGCATTTGAAAAACTTATGAAGAGTTTATGAAAATAGTTTATAACTACTGTTAGCTCTTTTCAACTTATTTTAATAACCTTCTTAAGTATCCCTAATTAGATTAAGATCTTTTCAGCTTTGTCAAAATAATTTATGGTCAAATTTACAGCATAAATTCTGCTGTAGTAAGAACACAACAAATAAAAGCTATTGTATTTTCAAACGCATTTTAAATTGTTCCTAATCATTTTGAAATAAATAATACAAAAACTTTAGATATCAGATACTTAAACTCTAAAGTAAAAATACTAGTTGAATTAACAAACAGGCTAAAACACTCACCTCCACACAACTAACCTCAGCTATCAAATAAAATCAAACCTTAACACTCACCCAAGTTGCCAGATACCACTGAACTCGGCGCCAAAGTAAAAATACAAAGATAACGAAAAATGAAGCTTAAGAAGGATATTTCCATGCCCCTAATTATACAACGCCCACACTCCAGCTTGAAAAACTCACGATGTTAACAAAATACAGGAACAGCAAGTACAGATACAGAATAATTAGAAGCAACAAATACAGAATCACACTTACTCTGAAGCTTCTTGTCCATGTACCTGCCACATCCCCAGAGAAAAAATAGAAAATCGAAGATTAATAAGAATCAAGTCTAGCAGAACTTGAAAAATAAAAATGAAGTTGAAAATGAGAGAAACACTTACTTCTTCAAATCCGGTGGTTGCCCTGACCTGCTCATGGTGATGAAATGAGATTGAACCAGCGAACGACAGAGGAAGTAGAAGATTTGGTGGGTGCAAGTGCTAAAACCTCAACTTCACCACAAACCCTAACTTCGGAGGCTACGATTCCATTTTGTTCAAACTGGAATGGATCCCCAAGCCCAGAAAATTTTGATTGCTCGAAGGCTCGTGGATCCAAAGGCCCAAAGTTAGGAGAAGCCCAAATTATTTTAATTTGAAGCCAGATTAGTAACTTCTATCTATCATTAGATTATAATTAAATATCGTTAGATTAAGTTTAAAATTAATAAACGGCTTGATATTTTTACTTAATTTAGATAATATGTAGTCTTAGAAACTCCAAGTTAACCTTCCAGTGTATTTGACTAGGTTAGTTTCAGTAAGAATTACGAACTGCAAATATCATTAGTTTTTTGTCTTTTTAGATTTTTTATTTAGGGGGAAAAAAACCTTTAAAAAAAATGTTATAACCAAATAATTTAAGCATGATCAGAAGATAACCCCTTCACAAACGAATATCAGAACCAAGTTATAATCAATTAATTAAATTATTTACAATAAAGATTAATCGTTTCTACACAAAAAAGTTTTAACGAGGTTGGAAAACGTAAAATTCAGTTATCTCGCGGAAACAAATATGTACGAAATGTTGGCTAGAGTTGCTTAGGCGTTTTTAATGTTAACTTTCAATTTAAACCAGATAATAACTTAAGTAACAAGTGCTCTTTTGTTTTGAATAAATACTTATGGGTAAATTTTGTTATTTGATAGTCAAATATTTTAATATATAAATACTATAATATAACATTACATGTTTAAACTCTACTATGTTGTCCCTCTTAATTACTAAAAATTATTAAACTCTTAATTATTTTTTTATCTAGCAAATTGTCATAGTATTGCATGAATATTTAAATTTATATATTTTTTTAAAATGTGTAAGAGATTAAAGTATCACTGTTATTAAATAATGTGAAATTACATATAAAAAAAAAGAGATGTAATATTATTTACAAATTACAATATATTAATAATTATTAATTAAGTTTTTTATTTCCTTCATACAGTAGTCACTGAGCATACATATAGCAATAAAGTAATAAAATAAATTGTACTTACCCATTTTCACAAATAAATTGATTAATAATTTGTGATATAAGTTCATACTAATGTCCAGTTAAAAATATTTCAAAATTAATATTTTTTTATAATTTCACTCACTTAAAAAATGATTTTTAAACAATATTCATATTCATTTTTCTTCCTTTCATTAATTATTATTGTCAAATTAAATAATTTTATTAAGTGAAAATGTCTAACATTTTTTAAACTCGTAAGATTATCATTTCAATATTGAAACAAACAAAATTAAATTAATTTATTTTACGACTTACAGTAATGAATTTAAATAAAAATTTATAGGAATTTAAATACGTATTCTCTCTCTATATATATATAGAGAGAGAGAGTGCGTATTTTTCATTTGTGACATAAAAAATCTTATTGATATTCGCACCCTATAAAAGTTTAAAATTCATTATGCAAAGTGTTTCATACATATTTACTTCAATTAAGAGTTACACTTATGACTACAGGAGACCTAAAATATTGTTCAAATAATGTCACGCGCGTTAAAGTAGTATTCACCACCTACATCCTGAAACATGTTGCTTAGTGAGACTATACATAATTATATAAAGAAAGATGTTTTATTTTTTGATCTCTCTCATTTAATTTGACAGTGAGATTTTTTGGCATAAACTTAAATTTGTTATTTTAATAAATTATATACAAATTAATTTTAAAAAATTTAAAGAAATTATAAAATCCATAAACTACTTACGCAAATTCTTGTAAAAGCACGTTGTTTTAATGCAAAATAACCGGCTGGTGGTCATCCCTTGGTTTCCCTTTCAATTTTTCACCGTTAAATCACAAAAGTCACCGTCGCCTCTGGCCATTGCTATTCAAACTTGGCTGCTTGAATTTGATTTAGTTGTGTTCATTTTCTATATATTTTCTTAAAGCAAAAAAAATAAAAATATATTTATGTATTTTTTTGTTACTGGTTTTTCGCATGTCTCGAATAAATGTAAATCGCTAAATTATTTTATACAGATCTCTGTGGCAACTCCGATATAACACTTATATATGCATCATGTGTGGAAAATGAATCCCCACGGTAATTAGTCAAAAAGTGTAACGAATCTAATATAAACAGTTTTTTATCTCTAAGGTTAAATATTGATTGAAAAAAACATAATTCTACATTTATCAATGGTTAGATTTAGGCCTTCTTCAGTGTTTTTTTATAACGGTATAGTCGTATAAGATCCCAATCCATCGTTTCTATATGGAGTTCGGCTATTTGAAAAATTTATTTTAATCAAACCGTTTGTCATAAAAAAATTATTAAAATTTGGTACCCTAATTTTAATTTTAGTGGTATTAATCTTTACCCTATGAATTATATTAACGCTATATATCAAATTCAAGTCTCATATGATCGTGTCTTGTTTCCTAATGGCATCTATTACGACGATAAAAATAGAAACGGAGACGTATTAAAATTTAAAACTATGAGAACAAATTTATACACTGTCACTGCGATTAAAAAGATTAATAAAGAAACAACACATGAACATTGAATTATACGATGAATAAAAAATATGATCATAAAAAATAAAATAGACGGGGTAATAAGTGCATTGAACTATAGGGGAGGGGATTAAATTTCGAATCATTAGAAAAGTGCTAAAGAAAAATTTAAGACGACTTTCTAATATTCTCTTCGAAAACAGAGAAAAAAAGAAAAAACAGAGTTAAAGTGGCAGAGTGGTTCCAATGTAAAAGAAAACGTTAATACCAAAAATTGAGTTAAAGGACCAAACTTAAAAAAATTAAATTAAAAACAGTATCTACCAAATAAATATATTGTATAATTTACGATTCAGTTGAATATTCATGCCTTTTTTTTTTTATTATTTTGTCTTTGAAGAATCAAGCCTTACAATTGTATAATAAAATTACGGTATTCAGAGCCATGAAATAAAAAGGCAACAAGGTCAACCAGCATTATTAGCCCAAATATGTATCGTACTAATTCTACTGAAAATGCACTTTCAATCATGGGTCACGAGAATACCATCCTATCACACCATTTGCATCACATTGCCCTGGTCAAATTGTCACCACCAAAAACAAATTGAGGCCTACCCTTCCACACTTTTGTCTTTGTGTTAAGGGCTTTCCATTCCTTAGTCAACTATTCTCTTCTTACTATTTATGTTGACTAGAGAAAAAGCCCCCTCTAATCCTCCCTTTGTAGTATTCTTTTCATTTTCTTTTTCCTTTTTCTCTTCTTATTTTTTTGCATACCTCCGTACATGTCGTGGTGCTCATGATAGAGTTTGGTGGACTGGTGGTAGGTGTTTTTGTCCTAAAATATAAGTTGGGGTCAAAAGAGGACTACAAAAACGTAAGGATGTAGATGATTCCGAGAGTATTCTTCAATGCGTTTTGTCTTTGATGATGGTGACATAATCAGATTTCCTTTTTTTTTTCTTTTGTTTTTATTGGATTGGAGTTATGGATTTCGAATATCATAACGTTTTAAAATATCCCTTGTACTGTTTAGCTAAAAGCTCGATTGATTACTAAAGCATTTAATAAATTAAATCATTTTGTTAGTTGAATGGTCACTTAGGTTTATTTATATTGAGATTAAACGTGAAGAGCGGTCGTGCGTGAAGCTTATAGGTATCAACAACTAAAAAAAAATTAGAGGTGAAGATCGGTTGTCAATGTAGTTATATAAATCTAAAAACCAAACTCATAATTATAAGCCATTTGTAATTTTAAAACAATGAACAACTAGTTAATAGGCCTGCAGTATAAAATATTTTAAAACAACTAGTTAATGAATATATGCCAGATGTTTAATTAAATCTCAACAATATAAATTCTTTTTTAGTCCAAACCAACCAATCGTTTCGCGCCATTCATTGCGTATAAAATGGCTAATCGCCACCCAACTGTTGTGAAATTGAAACCACGCCAACTATATTGTGCTAAAGTTTTTTGAAGTGTTGGTGTGTCGTATGATACGGATGTCTGTTTTGAGTACTTTTATTAGTTTTTTACTAATATAGTAATGATAATTGTACTGTGACCTATCTCCCTTCCTTTCTTTAATTACAATGATTAAGTCAAGCTTAGCCATGATTGTTCAAGATAACTAAAGTTGCTATAAAAAAATTGATATTTATTTTCCATGTTCAAAATAATCAGCTGTTCTCTATTCAAAAGTATGAAAGTGACCTTTTTAATGTTGTTTTTTAATCCCCATCATCTCTGAATATCGTGTTATCTTACTCAAATATATCATAAATCATTCCTTCACCTTGCACTATAGCTATTTCCTTTACATAACTCTCCTCCTGTATACTTATCCCTTATCTTCCTTAAACAAAATGCTAGGGAAAAAGATAGAATCATTCAAGAAACTGGCGCAAAAGGTGAAGGTAGTAGGTGGAGTTGATCCTGATCCTGCTCACCATGAGTGTTTGCTAAAGGGATATGAGAATGAATGTGTTGGGGAAAACCAAACACAAGAACACAATTATCTAAAGTGAGCAGCAGAAACAATTCCCCAAACTTGCAAGAACCTGTGAGGAGCAACAACAATAACAAATGGCAGCAACAAACACAAGGACACAGAGAATTATTTACGTGGAAAAACTCTCTCAATGTGAGAAGTAAAAACCCACGGGCTCAAGCCAGTCAATCAAGCTCCACTATAATCAAATGAGGTTACAAGAGAGTCTCAAAATACTGCACAAATTCGTGCAAACAACCAGCTAATACAACCAAGCAATAAAGCCTAACCAAAGAGAGAAAATCTCACAAAACAGAGCTGCTGTTCATACACGATTTCTCTCAGCCAAAACCTCCAATCGACGATCCCAGCGGTCAGAATGAAGAAATATACGTCTGGGAACTACTGTCAAAGTTTCAGCTCAATCCAACAGTTAACTAAGGAGAAATAACAATTTCTCAGCAGCTGGTCTGTGCAGAGTCACCAAAAACAGGGCTTCTGTGCG